CGTGAGGCGCGGTCCAGGGTGCGGGCCGAAGCCTGACCTCGCTCGGGAAGGACTTCCCCTGACGCCCCGTGTCCCTCCAGGGCCAGCTGGTGACCAAGGACTACCCCGCCCAAGCCCTGGCTGTCATCGGGCTGCTCGTGGGCGCCTCCACCACGTGCATCCCCCTGGTGGCGCTGGGGACCTTCGTCACGCGCCGCCTCAGGACGGGCGGCTTGGCCCCCGTAGCTTGAGAACCGCCCCCCAGAGACGGCTCCCCACCGGAAGCGAGGAGCGCGCAGCCGGAAGTCCTCCTCCCGCCACTTACTGTGCCGGCCAGGAGTGAGAAGGGGAAGAGCGCTCGGAGGACGCGCACAAATCCCTGGAGGGAGCCTCTCCCCTCCCCGCCGCCCTGGCCAGCCACAGGCTTCCTCCAAATCGGGCATCGAGGCTGCTCCTGAGGACTGAGGACGGCGGCTTCCAGACTCTGAAGAGTCCTCACACTGAGGTGACGATGATACTTCTGGATCAAAGTGAGGCAGCCTGGGGTTTTGCCTGAAGAAACGACACAATATTGGAGAGTAATCAGTTTTACTCTAGTTGAAGGAGTTTTGAAGTGCTTGAGGTAGCAGATTTGAACATCATTGGTATGAAGTTTTTTGTTTGTTGTTTTTTTTTTTTTTTTGGTCTTAGTGAATATACAATTTCTAGGTTCCCCTCCACCCTTTCAGTGCTAACACGACTGATGTGGCCATGGAGTGAGACCTTTGTTGGGGATGCACAGGAGTGAACTTTCTCTCATCTAGGGTCTCTCCTAGTGCCCAGGAACACTTCTGTTTACAAAATTACCCCAGCTACTGCACCCAACCCCCAACTGCAAGATTCTTCACAGCCACCCATCTGTGGTGTCTTAAAGCCCAGAAAAGGTTGCCAGTGATCAGCCTTTCTTAGACTTACCATGGCACTTGGACATTGTGGCCAACTCTCAAAGACCCCAGACATCACTTACCATCAGCCTATGTTATTTATCTGTACATAAGAAATTTTTCTAATGTATATAATATAAACAGAGCATCTTATAACTGAAGACACGCCATATTTATGACTATAGCATTAGTCTACCATGTGAATGTCTTCCTTTTTTCTCTTTTACTGCAATAAGTACGTCAATGTTACCCTAAAGTGAGAGGGCCTTTCCAACTCCAACATGCCCTGCTTTGTTGAGATTATGGATTTCAGGAGAGTCTCTCTGGGTGTTTCTATAGACATGTGTGTGTGGGTGTGTGTGCATGTGCACATGGTACTGGGGGGGGGAACCCAGGGTTTTCACAGAGAACCACATCCCAGCTCATTTTTTAAAATTTGGAGACAGCGTCTTGCCGAGTGACTAAGTTGCCCAGGCTGGGTTTAAACTCACAGATTTCAGGACTCAGCCTCCCAGAGTTCTGGGACTACAGGCACATGCTGCAAAGTCCACCTTGTACGGGCACCCACTTAGGACATCAGCCAGAGACGGCTCTTCTTTAACTTCCTTTTAGCTATATGCTATACACTACCTTGACTATCTCAGCTGCTTTTGGCTTGTTGCTTTTGTTTCTCTGATACTAGGGGTTGAACAGATGAAGAGACCTTGGAACTGGAGACGCTCCCTATTTATGATTACCACAGTAGTCTACCATGTGAATTTGTCTTCCTTTTTTCTTTACCGCAGTGAGCACTTCAGTGCTACCCCAAAGAAGAAAAATGAGTGGTATGTTTAGGAATATTTATGTCGACAATGACCTGTAAAAGCTTTTGAAAGCATTCTGAGCTTTTCCTTCATGCACAAGTCACTTCCCTGGAATGTTTGCTCACAGACATCGTAAGGACGAAGTAACACCTGTAAGAACAGGGTGCGCCTGCACTGGATGTGGAACGTGCAGGCAGAGCCAGTGTAAGTGGTACCTGTCCTTCGCTGCGGATGCACTGACCACGCCTGAGCTACCAAACCTGGTGACCATGTGCTGACAGGGAGCTGTCCCCATTCCCAGAGAGCACCAGTAGCACATCAGTCCCCCAGAAAAGCTCAAAATCCCAAACTCCTCTTACACTGTCAGAAAGCACGAAAGCCCCAGTCGAAACGATGTCCATCCAGGGCTTCAGAGGGAAACATCTGCAGTTTGACTTCCGTTCCTCACTGGTTTCCTTAGACTTCACAAAGAACAAGGCGTTTCTCAAGCATCCTCTCCAGCCAGAGGGAAGTCCTGTCCCAGAAAAGTACACAGCTGTTTGCTCTGCTTTTGCTGGTTGCCGGTCAGGACCTTTACCCACAGGTATCAGCAGATTCCATGTAATTCCAGTGACACACAGAGTTAGAGAAACCAGTCCTGGATTCAGATGGAAACACTGCAGACCCAGAACAGCAAAGCAAGCCTAAGCAAACACACAGGCTAGAGGCATCACATGCCCGATTTCAGATGAGCCACAAAGCCATAGCAATGGGGCAGCATGGTGCTGGCACAAAAGCAGACACATAGACCAACGGAGTAGGACAGAAGATGCAGAAAGGAACCCACACAGCTGCAGCCATCTGGCTGTGGACAAAGGAACCAAAGCTACTCACTGTGGAAAAGATGGCCTCCCTAACAAGGGGTGCTGGGCAAACTGGAGAGCTGCTTTTGGAAGGGGAAAAGCAGACCCAGCTATAAGATCTGAAACTTTAAAACTGCTAGAAGGAACAGTTGAAGCCATAAGCACAGGCAGAGACTTCCTGAGTAGGACTCCAATCCACAGGACATAGTAACAGGGATCAGCAACTGGGACTACATCAATTTAAAAGTTTCTGCAGGGAATTAAATCAGTGCAGCGACTTAGAGAAATCAGAACACAGCTTCCTAAAGCACAAAAATTAGAATATGATCTAGCTGTGCCACTTCTTGATAACCCAAAAGAATTAAGGTCCCTCTACTATCGGGTCACCTGCATAGCCCAGTTTATTATGCCATAATTCACAGCCACGACATGGAACCAGCCTAAGTGTGAAGAACGCATGATACACATATCGTGTGGAATATTAGCCATAAAGAAGCAAACTATGTCATTTACAGCAAAATAGATGGACCTGGATCATGGTGAAATAAGCCCGACTGTGAATGACAAGTATTGCATGTTCTCCCCAATATGGGAATCTAACAGAAGCATTGAAGTAGAAGAGAAACTATTATTAGAAAAGAGGAAGAAGGTCATGGGGGGGAGTGTGAGGGTGAGCGGGTGAGGGTACAAAATGTGTATTACACGCCTGGGGGGAAAGTGCATTGGCCCTGCCAGAGTCCCCTGGCTGGTTCCCATGGGGCCACTCCTCATCACCCCACCCCTGCCGCGGTCACTGCAGCCACTGTGCCCTGCGGTGCTTCCCCAGGAGACTCCTAGCTTTGAGGCCACCAGCATGGCACGTTTACACGGCTTCCTGGAGGACTCAGGGCCTTCTCTTCTTCCACACGTGGGATCTGCCCCAGTGGGCGCCACAGAGCAACCTTCACATCTAATCCTGGCACTTGTGGCTCCTGTCCATCTCATTATGCAGAATTCATGGAGCTCACAGCCAAGAGCTGCCAGAGTCAACCGTTCCAGCCCTGCTCCAAAGTCCAAGTTCAAAGTCTTCTCTGAGACTCCAGGAAACTTAGCTGTGAATGGCTACAAAAATAAAAAACTAGTTCCATACTTCTAAGACACTGGTGGCACAGCCACAGGTTAAGCATTTCTGTTCCATAGGGGAGGAATAAGGGCTGGGGTAAGGAGTGTCGGGTCTAAAATTAGAGTGAACCCTACGTGCCATTAGTGGTGTCTTTGGCTCACTGGGGCTGAGGCAGCTCTGTGGGGCTTGGGCAGGCCTGCCATATACCTTGCTGCTGGAAGCCAGCAGGGCTGGCTCCTCCAGGCCGTGTCTGTGCCCTGTTGCTGTGACAAAGTACCCTGGAGAATCAGTGAACAGGAGGCCCAGTGGCTCACGGTCTCAGGGTCTCAGTCCATGGCAGTCAGGCCCATGACTTCTGGGTCCATGGTTAGGCAGTGCATCATGGGGAGCCAAGCTGCTCACCTCAGATGTCTGGGAAAAAGAGCCAGGGTCCCAGTGCTCCCTCTGGGCGCAACCTGGTGGCCTGACTACATCCAAGTACACCCTTCCTCCTAAAGGCTCTGGCCATTCCCAGCAGCGCTAGGCCTCTGGGACACCTTCAACACCCAGACTGCAGCACTGGCTCCCCTTGATCCGACAGCATCCCAGCATCCGGGGCCAGCGTCACACAGTGCTGACTTCCTGCCTTCCTGGAGCCCCCTATGCAGCTCTGCGTGTACTCACTTGGCTCCCAGCTCTGCCCTCTCAGCAACCTGAGCTTACTACCTGGCCACCCAGGCTTCCCTGGGAGATCCTGGGGAAGATACCTGAGCTCCGGAAGTCTGGCACCTACCGAGACCCATACAGCTGTCTTAGAGAAAGCGGTGCTTCCCCCCACAGGGGATCACAGTAAAACAACCTGCAGGGACAGGCGAGGGTCGAACTAGGCCGGGCCAGAACTAGAATCCGTCATCCAGGGAGTCTCTGGACGTGCACTGCACTGACACTCAGGCAGTGACCACAAGCACAGGCGTGCGACTGTTACCTCGGGCTGCGCAGACAGCTCCCTCAGAAGATGACCGTTCCAGACGAACCGCTGATCTGCCTGAGAGAAGTCACACGCTGAGCCGCTCAGAAAGGAAACTCCCGCAGCACTGGTGTCCCGTCGGGTGCGAATCCCCCCACCCAGGAAACCTGCCCTCCTCGCCCTGCTGCTGTCCCTCTGCCTCACCCACAAGAACCCAGGTCCTCTCCATGCATCTGGCAGCCCCCAGGGGGACTCTTCAGATGTTCGTTTCCTGCACCAGCTTTGTGTGTGTCGGGGACAAAAAACATCACTGAATATACTCAAGGGGAAAGTGAATTCGCTCACAGCAAAAGTGGTGCGGGCAGAGGTTTCCTTGGACCGGCAGAGAATGCATTTCAAGATGCCACAGATGCCTTGAAACCATGCGTAGTGAGGAGCTCTACACTACACCTGTCGTTCCTATGCAGGTTTATAATAGCATGATAACATTTACTGTATGCATTCGTATAATAAGAGACGGTAAATAAGAAGTCATAATAAGTTAGGGTAATACAACAACCTACTGTAATAAAAGTTGTGGGTCTGTGTCCCTGATAAGAAAACTCTGAGGAGTTCTGCACACTGGGCATCCCACCGGAAAAGCTTGAGGGAGGCCAGGTGCCATAGGGCATGCTGAAATCCCATGTCTCAGGGGCAGAGGCAGGAGCATCTCCTGTCTGCATAAGCCTGGCTACATGGTGAAAGCTGATCCCCAAACAAGCTTAAGCCAGTCCTGTATCTAGAAGTGAAAGGACATAGAAACATAGGAAAGTATAAAACTAAATGGCAGATACACAACTAAGGAGGAAAAGAGAATCACACCATGTCACTACAGAAAACCACCAACCCACAGAGGTTAGTGATAAGACAGAAAGGACAAAAGGCCCCACCAAAGCAGGCATCAGGAGTATGTGGTGAGTGATGACCCTGGGTGTAAACTGATCAAACCCCCCTATTACAACATGAGGCAGGGGGATTTAATACAACAGACAAACCAGAGGCGCAGTGGCCACCGGGAGGCACCTGCTCCCTGCTCCTTGCTCCCCAGGAAGGACGCAGACTGCGAGGGGAGGTGGTGGGAAAAGGCGCTGCACACAAACAGGAGCAGATGGGGAACCTGCACTCGGGCCAGGTGGCACAGGACCTAAATGGGAAGTTATCAGAAGAGGCAAGGAAGGCCACAGCGTAATAATTAAAGCTTCAATTCTCATTTCAAAAAGTAATGGACACAGCCAGGGATTTAGCTCAATGGTTCCACTGCCCGCCTCACAAGCACAAGGACCCGAGTTCGATCCGACAGCTACAGCACACACACTTTTCCCATCCGCCTAGGGAAGTTCTCAAGACAGACTCCATGTTACGCACTTGAGTACATGGGATGAAGCCCCGGGTGTCACATGACCTGACTTCAGAACACGCCCCAAAGCCAGGGGAGCAGAAGCAACGGACGCTGGCATAAAAACAGACATGCGGGCTGACAGAACACAGAAGAGGTTCCAGGAATAAGAAATCCATAATTAAAGCCACCACGTTTGCCTCCTTTCCTCTCTGGCACTAAAGACAGAGCCCAGGGCCTGCTCACTGAGCACTGTCCTCAGCTCTCTTTTTCTTCTGAGACAGTCTTCTTTTTCTTTTACTTTTTTTTAAGAATAGGAAAAATTTATGGAGGCAAAGAAAGCTTCTAAGTCAGAAGGGGGACTGGAAAATTGGTTGCCCTTTTTCTGAGAGTAGGAAAAATGCATCGGTAATAGGAATAACTCCTGAGAGACAGGAGGGGTCCAGACAGGGTCTTGTTAAGTTGCTAAACTGCCTGGGTCGAGCTCAAACATCTGATTCTCCTGCCTCAGTCTTCCGGATTGAGAGGATTGCCCGTGTGTGCGCCCCTCTGGCTTACAGCCACTTTATGTTTTATCAAAGTCACCTCCTCTTTCTCCCCTCACTTCCCACTCACCGTTCCTGTCAGGATGCTCTGCTCTGCCACAGCCCCCACAGCAACAGTCGGTGACTACGGACTGAAGTGGGACTCAGAAGAAACTTCCCCGCTTCTCAGTTCATTAGCTCGGTACACCGTCCTGGCACGGGGAGCGGAGGAACACGGGGTCCCTCAGAACCTTCAAGTAGGACGAGCATGTGGTCTGGCAGCCAAGCTAGGAGCTGCGGATCCCCAGGCCAGTAGAGGGTGCAGACTAGAGCTGACAGCGCTAAGTGGAGATTTCAAAATAGCAGAGAGCTCTGTGTTCCCAGCACAAAGAAATAATCAAAGTGTGAGGTGACAGAGGAGAGGGTGATACATTTATCAAAATATCTCCTAACCCCATACACACGTACAATTATGTGCCGGTTAAAACCTTACTTTTTTTTTAAAGAAATAACCTAGGGAACATTTAAAAAAACCTCCTCCAGGGCACTTAAACAAAGCCAGGGAACCTGGACTTTGTCTCTCGGGAGCAGGAGTACTGAGCTCTGTGAATGAACAGTGGGGTGGTGGGGCGAGCGCAGGATCAGAGCCCAGGACTCTGAGAACCTGGGAGCCCGTCCAGCTTCACGCCCACGCCCTGCAGCTCTGTCCAGGCATGTCCCTCTATTGCCACCTCTCCCAGAAATCAGAGGACGCCGCACACTGGCCCTGGCCCTGCAGGGCAGTGTCCTCGTACCCTCGTGCGGTGACAGTCAGGGCATAGGGCAGCTCCTCTGCAGCCACCAGGACTGGGGCTCAGATGCTGGAGAGCTGCATTCTCTCCACTCCCCAAGGCCTGGGGAGGGCTGGGGTAGCTCCCACAGGCTCTGGAGAGCCAGGTGGGGCGTCTGCAGGCATGCTTTGGGCTGGTGGTTAAACGCCACCATGATTTAAGGACTTAGGTGCTACATACCAGTGATTAGCCGCGGAGAGAGGTCCTCAGACGGGTCCTAACCACTTCCTGTGCTGCAGGGCAGCATGCCACGCCACCGATGTCTGAGCTGCCCGGGGAAAATCAAGGTAACAGCTGCTATGCTGCATGTAGCAACCAGGCCCACTTTCAGTGAGGTCTGGCTGGAGTTCACAGCAGACACACAGCATGCAAGTCGGAGTTGTTTCTACAGCGAGTAGGAGGCTGAGTGCCTGCCAGACCATCACCCGTGTCCAGCAGATGCAGTCCTGTATTTGGGAAATTTCCCAGAGCTCCAAGAGCAGCCCGGAGGGTGTGGGGGCAGAGGTCCTGCAGCCCTGGGGGACAATGCCAGCAGCAGGGCAAAAGTGGCAGGGAGGCAGCGAGGTGGACCCGGCCAAGCATGAGGTCCAGGCCAGCGAGGAGGGACTGTGTCAGAGCCCCGTAGGGAGAGCAGATTCTGGGGCTCAGCACGTGGAAAGGCAGGGAGAGGCACAGGGCCTGGGGTGCAGGAGAAACCTGGAGCCCCTGTCCTGCAGAGGGAGGAGCTGCGGGGATGGAGCCACCTTCGGCTCAGCGGGCCTCCCTGGCCAAGAATGAAGAGCCGCAGTCCTGGGGGAGCCCTTGTCAATGCCCCAAGCAGAGGGAAGCAGAGGACATCGAGCCTGGGGCTGAAGAGGCCCGTGCACGATGGGGGCACCCGTTGCAGCTCCTGTTCGCCTGCATCTCCTACGCCACACAGATCTTCTCTCTCGGCCTGGGCTTCGGCAGCCTGATCGCTTTCGCCAGCTACAACGAGCCCTCCAACAACTGCCAGAAGCACACCATCATCGTGTCCCTCATCAATAGTGCCACCTCCATCTATGGCTTCAAGGCCACCTTCAACTACGAACACTGCTTAGATAGGTGAGCCGGGCTGCACCTCTAAGACCTGGGCCTCCAGTGGGGAGGAGAGCGCCCGCCTCTGAGCTGGAGGGAGAACCACAAGGAGGGGCTGCACAGGAACACATTGCTGAGAGATGGGAAGGTGGCAGCCTCTCCAGTCAGTGGAGGTCAAGCTGGTGCTGTGCTCTGCAGGGTGATTCTGCTGCTGACCAATTCTTTTGACCTGGAAGATGGCTTTCCAGTGGGGAGGAGAGCGCCCGCCTCTGAGCTGGAGAGAGAACCACAAGGAGGGGCTGCACAGGAACACATTGCTGAGAGATGGGAAGGTGGCAGCCTCTCCAGTCAGTGGAGGTCAAGCTGGTGCTGTGCTCTGCAGGGTGATTCTGCTGCTGACCAATTCTTTTGACCTGGAAGATGGCTTTTTGACAGCCAGCAACCTGGAGCAGGTGAAGGGCTACCTGGCTTCCACCTACCCAAGCAAGTACAGCGAGGTCTTCCCACTCCTGAAGAACTGCAGCCTGGAGTTGGAGCTGGACACGGTACGGTGTGGCCAGGGAGATCGGGCGCCTCTCCTTGAGCTAACACAGGCTCTGGGGCAAAGACTGGGTCCCCACTCCCCTTCCTATAAGGCCGCACTCACATTACCTTAGGACCCCGGTTTTATAACCTCATTTAACCTAAGCTTCCCACTGAAGACGCCTCCCAGGGACACTCACACTGGGGATGGAGATTCCACACCAGAGTCCTGGGGAGGGGACCGATTTGATGCACAGCGGTTCTGACTCTGACCCAGTGCAGCAAGGGCTCCCGGGGGAGGACAGTGCTCTTCTTCCCACCGCCTCTCCCCTCCAGCTGACTTGTCTTCCTGTGGGTTTACCAGCCCATGCGTGGCACACTGCTTAACCCTAATTTCTGGGAGTGCTGGTGGTCACAAATGCACGGAGGCTACAGGTTTCCTTTTGCGCGTCTCCTGCTGAGAGCCAGAGGTCTCCCACATCTATGGCGCTTTCCACCTTCCCTGGGTCACAGAGGACTTGTCTTCACACAGGAGCTGCAGGCTCAGTCCTCACAGCTGTGTCCACACCGCGGCACAAGCTCGGGACTCTGGGCCCTGACACAGGCTGGCTCCTCAGTCCCAGCACCGAGGGTGGAGCCCTGGACATTCTGAGGTGGATGTGGCACTGTCCACATGTGGCCCGGGGGCAGGGACAGAGTGACAGAAGTTCCCCACGTTCTGCAGAGGTGCATCTGGGCAGCCCCACATTCTATTTGGTGCTGCTGGCCTCAGGGCCTGGTCTGCAGGTGACCGGGGCTCAGCAGGTGGCTCTTGGGGCCAGTTCTGAGATCCCACATCACTGAGAATTCTCTTAGTGTTAGACCACTGGTCTCCTGGGTGACTGCTACCTCTCTCCGTGGACAGGCGGTCCAGGGCACAGGCCTGGCCTTCATGGTCTACACGGAGGCCATTAAGAACATGGAGGTGTCCCAGCTGTGGTCGGTGCTCTACTTCTTCATGCTGCTGATGCTGGGCATAGGGAGAGTGCTGGGCAACACAGCGGACATCCTCACGCCCCTGACCAACAGCAAGGCCATCTCCAGCCTCCTGCCCAAGGAGGCCATCTCAGGTGCGGGCCCACATGGAGCCATCTGCCTCCTCCACATGGCAGGCACTGGTGGGCCTTTGCGAGGTCTCTGAGCCTTGGCTGCTCATTGGGAAAGGGGCCCTTTCCTGGCCTTGAGGCTAAGGACTCCACGCAGGGCCATGGTGCTGGCAAACCCAGCTCACCCCTCTCCCCTCTCCCATGTCCTGCCGGCCCTGACCCACATTCCAGCCTCTCCCCTGCTTCTCTCCCCACGAGGCTGGGCCTGCGCAGTAGGGATCCACAGGGCCCCAGACCCACAGCCCGGCAGAGGGGCCCGAGAGTGCACAGCTCCCTCTTCTGCTGCCCCCTGGGCCCATGTTCCTTCCCAGCAGCTCTGCCCACCCAGGTGGACCAACCAAGTGGCCACAGTCCCCTCGGGGCCCGGCCCCCACTGCCCCTGAGAGGTCGGGCGAGCAGTTGGCGCTCGGGTGTCTTGTGCCCAGGTCTGGTGTGCCTCATCAACTGCACCATTGGCTCGCCGTTCACCATGGAGGCCGGGATCTACTGGTTCGACATCTTCAATGACTACGTGGCCACACTGTCCCTGCTGCTCATCGTGCCGGCAGAGACGGTGGCCATGTGTTACGTGTATGGGCTGAGGAGGTGAGGGGCCGGGCCCAGCTAGCTACAAGGGAACAGACAGCCCTATGGGATCTCAGAGAGGCTGCCACCCTCAGTGCATTTCCTTCTAGAAAATTCTTCTTTGCAGTCATTTGTTTTTTTTTCCGAGAGTTCACCTGTTTCTCTGCCTCACTTCTCCCCTCTTGGCCTGCAACCAACAGCTTTTTCCTATGTCTTCTCCTTGCATTATGGGATGCCCCTGGGTAACACTGCTAAATCCCCATAGCTTTCTTGGAGGACAGATAGTTCCTCCTGGCAGTAGATACCCTCATCCCCAGCCAGCATCAATATATTTAAAAGTCTTTATTGAGAGCTTTCATCTCAGAAAATCTGACAAATTCCTCAGAGGTCAGATTTTCACCCCTGGTGCCCAAGGCACTGCTGGAAAATTTTCAGTCTTCCCAGGGCATGCAATGTGCAGCTGGGGTCAGAAGTGCTGATCCAGAGCCACCTGCAAACTTGAGTTTGCCTCAGCACCATCCAAGAGCGGTTCTGGTTAAGGAGGTCCTGGACAAGTTCCAGGATTCCCAAATTGACATGTTCCCAGGTGGCCTGGGGACCACACTTTGAGAACCGCTGGTCTAGCTCCCACCACTCATGGTCCCTTGAGCACCAGCATCAGTAAGGACCCTGCCAGACTAGGGGACTCAGGCTTCTGAGCCCCACTGAAGCAGATCTGCACAGTGAGCACACTGCAGTTTAGGAAACTCTAATGTTGAGTGTCGCTCTAAGGAGCTTTGCCACTGGGCCTTTCCAGTTCCCATCTCTTCCGGTGCTGCTTCTGGGTGGGGAAGCAGACAGCCCTGACACGCAGACTTGCAGACCCCACAGCTGAGTCTCACACTGCCACGGATAGACCAGGCATTGCCTGCCATGCTGAGGGATTCTCCTGTGATCATCTGGTTTTATGACATAAGTGAAATCAAGCCAGGACTTCTCAGACCTCTGAAGACAGAGGACTCTCAAGAGGGGACATGATAATTTAAAACATCATCAAAACTTACTGTGGCCACTGCAGGCCTTGCAGCCTCCTGCCCCCTCCTGCTAGTTGCTAACATTTTGAAATCACTAACAAACATTAGGGCACCCGCTTCTCCCTTGTTTCCCAGCACGGAGGGATTTCTGGATGTAGACCATTCAATGTTAAAACCAGGAGAGTCCCTGGTAAAGTCGATAAATGTGCCATCTAGGAAATGCCAGTTTAGAGAAGAGTCTATCCCAGGGAAGAATTCAGGAGAATTTGGAGACAGGACTGAACCTTGAGCCCACAGAAGGGATTGGAGAGGGGGCACAGGCCTGTCAAAGGGTGCTGGGGAGTGCAGGGGACTGAGGGAGGAAGGGAGCCCTAGAGGTTTCTGGAGCAGCCCAATCCAGGAGTGGCCAGAAGATTCTTGTGCTTGCTCAGGCCACTGTCATCTGGTGGCCTTGTGGCAGCAATAATTGGTCAGTGGCCTGTTCTGCCAACTTTTAGCTACCCAGGCGTGGAGCGGGTGAAGGGAGAGAGGACCCACGTTTTCTGACCTGTGTCACTCTGACGGTCTTGGGCATACAAGAGCCCCGGTGGCCTGGAGTCCTGCTCGTCACCTGTGGGAAGAGGGGGTAGCGCTCTGAAGAGCCTTCCCTGGATGCTGCACAGGAGACAGGGGGACATGGTGGCAGTGACACCTTGCCCTGTCCCAGCCCCTCCTCCCAAGAGAGCAGTAAGAGGCCCCAACCTGGGGGTGGAAGGCAACCCAGGTTCAACACTGCTCTGCCCAGCAGCAAGCCCACCCCAGCCATAGGTCTCGGCCCCTCCCCTGTGAAATCCTGACCTGTGAGCACTGGAACCACCTGCGATGACCACATCACACCCAGTGAATGCTATGGTGCCGGCCAAGGCGCAGAGGAAAGGGCCAGGTACAGCCTGGCACAGCGGGCGGAGGTGGTTGGTCCAGGGCTCTGGCGCCTGCACTCCTCCCCTATCCAGGCCAGGTCCTGGGGTCCAACCCAGCTCCGACTCTGCCCAGAACCCCTTGCTCCCCAGGCAGGGGATCCCACCCTGGGTGTTTCTACCAGACAGAGCGGATGCCGAGGACAGGGGAGGGGAGGGGAGGGATGCGGAGGCCCCAGGGGCACTGTCCCGAGGGTACCAGGCCACATCCCAGGTCCACACCACAGGCTCCTCCAAGTCTCCTGATTCCCCTACTGGTGCAGGTGCACCCCATTTTCTCTGCAACAAGGGACCCCCAGGAGCTCAGGTGGGGTACTCAGAGAACATGTCCCGGGATTAGGGCAGGGGGCTTGCCCAGCTCCAGCAGTACCAGCACCAGAACCCACATTCTCTCCACCTGCCCATGGCCCACAGATTCGGAGCCGAGCTGGAGGCCATGACCGGCCGCGCCCTGGGCTGCTACTGGAAGGCCATGTGGGCCTGCGTGAGCCCACTGCTCATCATCGGCCTCTTCCTCTTCTACCTGAGCGACTACATCCTCTCGGGGACGCTGCGGTACCAAGCCTGGGACGCCACTCAGGTACCTGCCACCCCTGGTCTCCACGGCCCGCTGGGCCTCAGCTCCAACGCCAGGAGCTGCCTGTGGCAGGGAGGTCTCTGGAGAGGGGTCAGAGCCCCAAGGCGGCTCCTGCCAGGCCCTACTGCAGAGCTGCAGGTGCCACAGTGAGAGACAGGTGCGGCCCCCATGGTGCTCCTGTGCCTGTCTCCTCACTGCACAGGGTCAGGCACCCAGGTACCACAGTGGACGGATTGATGCGGAACATTTCCAGACACAGAAAGCTCTAGTCTGGGTGATGGGCAGACCTGCATGGTGCTTCAGTGAGGCGCTAGTCACTCCTGGGGCTTCGTGGGCCTCTCCAACCTCTGCTTCCCACCCAGTCTCTGCTCGGTGGGGGCTGAGGCCCCGCCAATGGTCTCAGCAGATGTGGGGGAGGTCCCGTCCCTGACTGTCTCTTCCAGGGCCAGCTGGTGACCAAGAACTACCCCGCATACGCAGTTACTGCCATCATGTTGCTCGTGGCCACCTCCACCATGTGCATCGCCCTAGTGGCCCTGGTGACTTGCATTGTGCACCACCTTAAGAAGGGAGACAGGGCCTCCATAACCTGAGAACTGGACCCCCAGGGAGCCTCCAGCCAGCCTGCCACTGCCTCACTATGGCCTCCTGGCTTTTTAAATTATTTAAGCCCAAAGTACTGCACCTGTCTACTTCCTGAATATATCATTAGTTACCACAAACTCTTCTCAGCTTCTAACAATCTTAACACATCTCTAGATTTATACTTTCCTCATCCACAATTTATATTTTTGTTGCTACAATTTAATTTAATGTGTCCACAGTTACATTTGGTCACTTTGACTTTTCTTATTAGAGAACTGAAAGGTCTACGTCCAGTATTATAACAATGGCGTATTCTGAATTTGATTACAAATGTGTTTACCTTCACCAGTCTAAGTTTTCACGTTTTTCTGATATTAAGTATCGTCCTCTTGCTCCCCTTAAGTGGTTCTGTAAGGCCTCACGGCCATACACTCCTCCTACTTTTGCTAATTTCTTTCCTGAAGTGCAGCTTTGCTGGGAATAGTATTCTTGGTGAGCAGGGTTTTTTCTTTTAGCACTTTTGGATGGAACAAAGACCTAAAAGCGGAAAAGCAAAACCATGTGAAAAGGTAGCCCTCAGAGGTAAGCAATGCAGTCTTACAATCTAGCACAAATGTGTTAGGAAAACACTGAGATTAAGCCCCTCTTTCATCAAAAGTCACTCATAAAAAATGAAACAACTACAGACAGGGAGAAGATATCTGTGGTACAAATAACCAACAAAGAATTACTTTTTTGGACTATAAAGAATTTGAACAAACCTTTAAAGACATTCTAACAGGCAGGCAAGAGACTTCAAAGGTGCAGGAAACAGCCAGAAATGAGCAAAACTATGAAAAGATGCTTAATCTTGTTTGTGAGAACAGAGAAATATGCCAGCATGAGAACCTTGCTAGATTAAAAACGTTGGAAGTCTGCTAATGCCAGGCACTGGTGAGAAGGTGGAACTGGCGAGAATACAGGCAACACATCCAACTTGGGAAATAATTCCGTTATCCTGTGTATTTAATGCTCATAATTCCATTACGCAACATACCATGGAGAAACACTTTCTACTGAGCCAGGAGAGAGATGAACACAATATTCATAGCAAGGCTCAGCGTGTGAGCAAACAGTGAGAAAAACCAAAACATACACTATTACGTAGACAGAAAACAAACTGAAATGGCCATCAATAAATCTCAGTGAACACAGGGTAATATGGTCACTCTATGAAAATGGTGGTTAAGAACAGGTTGCTGGCCCAGCCTTCCACACGGGTCTTAGAAACAGCACTGAGTTTAAAGGCAAGCTGGAGCATATGCACAGAATGGTACCACTTTCACAGCCTTCAAAAACAGGGAAACTGTACAGGGTGTGTAGTAAACATGGAAGAAATACACAGAAATGGTGAGGCTAGGGGCACTCTCCCTGGGAAGGCAGCGGGAGTGGCACCCTGGCATAACAGGGAGCTCACGTGCAGCACAGCTTCAGGAAAGCTGTATACCTTGGTCCTGGCATCAGCGCCTCCTGCAGGGAGCCGCCTGTGTTCCGCCATTCCAGGCTGCTTCTGGGCCTCAGCTCTGCATCTTCACTTTCCCGACTGTGATCGGCAGACTTTCAGGGTGTCCCCCAACTTCCTCCACTGCAGGTGATGGGAGGACACTGGAGAGATGATGATGTGAGACCGCGGCTCCCGTCTCACTAGTACTCGTTCCTAGTGGCCTTCATGAACCACCCTGCAATGCTGGAGAGGACCCTGTGGCACAGGACTAAGACTGCTTCCAGCCAAGAGCCAGCAGCTTGTGAGGAACCAAATCGTGCCAATAATCAGTGACTCAAGGTGTGGTTCTCTCTAGATGAACCTTGTTTGCAGCTTTCTGAGAGGCCCTGCAGCAGGGGACACAGCTAAGCCAGGCCCAAATTCCTGACGCACCAGAGCTGTGGGGTAACGCAATACAGGATGTTATAAACCACCAGCTTCCAGGATAACTTGTTACACAATGCTAGGTAACCGATACCCTGAGGCCATCTATAGCTGGTTTATCTCCTCTTGCTCATCTGCAGTCCTTCCTTGGAAACTCAGTGAGCTCAATTAATTTTCAAATTAACTACCAAATTTTGCTGAAATTATTTCAGTAGGAAGCTGAAAAAGGAATGAAAGATCATGTTTTAAAGATTCACCATCATTTATCTCTGGGTCACATCCTAGGATGGCAGTCTCCACTGTCGACTGGCTTGATACATGCAGACGAGGACGGGTGCTTGGGTGGGTTGCAGGGTGTGACCCCAAGGACTGTACCAGGTCCCCAGCCCGCTCTGATCTGCCCTTACAATGATGGTCTCACTTTGGAGACAGCCGGGCATGGGCCAAAGCCTCAGACCGTGAGCCAAGGTACACACTCTTCCTCACGGTGTCAGGCATTCCGCACCGGCCGTGGAAGAGCTCACGTGCTCACACACGTGTGCAATGGGTGCCACCATCGGGGGCTTCTCACTTCCCATGGGGCGAGGGCCCAGCCCTAAGCTGCTGACGTCAGGGCCCCCTGCTGTGGCCGAGGAGAGAGCTTCCTAACAAGCAGTACTATCCGCTTCCCAGCTGAGAATGGGAGGCATTCTAGAAACTACGTACTTCAAGGGTGGGGGGAACAAGCTTATGGGTTTTAGTATTTCCCTGCTTTTATCTGTAACTAAAAACTATAAAGATATACAAAATTTCTTAAGTGATCATAACTAGAAAAGAGAATCCAGAAGCTAATATTTTACTAACTTTTCTATAACGATCACCCATTGCTTTAAGAGAAAGAAAAAAAAAATCACCATCTTTCAAGTACAGTACAGAAATGCTAACACCAATGATTAGAAAAGAATACGACATTTTATTTTCACTTACAGATGTACAGTACATGAATTAAATAAAATCATGACAGGAACCTCAAATATTGATAGCTTTGACCTAGCACACGAAGATTAGTCCATTCCCTGCAAAGCAGCCACACAAGCAGCTTAGATTTGGTCTTTGTCGCAGTTGCTGATATTAAGTTCTTACTGTGCAATGTCCAGAGCACTTGGGTATTCTATTACAGTAGAAACGAGCTAAGTGTCAACCTTCCATCTTTGGAACGAATGGTGCTTATTTACATGGTAAGAACAGGTAGCTCTATTCACTTACCCTACTGCGAATTTCAGGACTGATTCAAAGCTATGAAGGGTTTTCCCAGATATTATTTCCTTTAGCATTTTTAAAAGCAAAAACTGTTACTAATGTTTATAAAAGATAATGCTGAAAAAAGGTAATGTTAAAATAAAGGCGCTTTTAAAAATATTTAAGGACAACATAAAGTGTTACTATTGGAAGAAATTGAACATATTTTCAAGTACGACATTGAAATAGTATAGAAGTGTTTAATTGTTTTAAAATAGTGGTAATGATGCTACTTTGCATACTGTTCTAATAGCTAAACCTCGTAATTACAATTTGAATATACAATCTGACTTACAATTACAACTATGCACAGCTTCTGAAGCATTATTTTTCAGGGAGTTTTTTTTTTTTTTTTTTAAATCTTGGTACCGTGGATCGAACTTGGGTCCTTATGCTTGCGAGGAAGGCAGCGGAACCACTGAGCTAAATCCCCGGCTCTTTCAGGGAGTTTTTGCACATGAAGTTGGTCCTTGATTTGGAGGCTGTAATGATCAGGAAGCACTGAGTCCCACACACTTACTGAGCAAAAACCCCGGCGGAGCAAAAGCAATGGTGCCACACATGGAGAAGCAGCTGCAGCCCCCACGTTCAGGGTCAAATCTAGCACGAGACCCTCGCAGGGCCTGTGTGTCTTGATGAGCCCACTGCCACCAAAGGACAGAGAAGCAGCGGGCAGGATGGGCCTTTTCCACAGTGGATCAATCCTTAAAAAGAGGCAGCTTGGTCCTCCTGCAGAGGAGACAGACTTTACATTCTTTGATCTCATTTAGACCTTTTCAAAAAGACAAAGTATATGTGGGCTCTTCCGTCACACATAAATGCTGGTGCAGCTGCAATGACAAGAGCTGTCCAAGGTCCGAACCCACGACCACACAGGCCAGCACTTCCAGCTGATGACCATGTGAGATCTACGCCCCATAAACATGGCACAGTCTGCTTATTTCAGACTTCTAAGAGAAGCCCACAGGGGTGGACAAAGGTATACTTGCTACCATTGACTGCTTCTATGACAATAATGAAACTGAGCTAGAAAAATAACTTTACAGTTTTAAATAATGAAAGAAGCTAAGTTTTTAAAATATATTACTTATCTGCAACAGTTGAATAAGTGGACAATGAACAGATTCCTTCCATTCTGTGGACTCAACTCAGGTTCTGCTCCAATTATTGTATAGTTTCACACTGCAAATGTAACCATCCTAAGAGTGAAGAGATCGCCAAGGCCCTGACGTCAGATCAATGCAAAGTCACCCTCACACAGCAGGAGAAGCGTTGTGGATAAAGGTGTCAAAAAGATCTGCGCTACTGTGGAAAGCGGGTCAGTAAAGACTCCAGTTCTGCATCATGGACTCTTTCAACCCGAGCCGCTTTCCACAAACACAAATTCAGTCTATCTTTTCCTTCTGGACCAATCTCGGAGCATCAACAAAATCTTTGCCATTGAAAAGAATAATAAAAAATGTTCCAACGCTGGCAACTCCCCAGAAGAGCACATAGGCCAGTGTTTCTGTCCAAGTGTCACCTGTTGGTATTAAAAAACAGTCAGTGTAATGGAAAAATAACCAAACAGTTCGAAAAAGGCACCTGCTGGCACCATGCCCAGAATCAGCCATACAGCATGTCTCTGTAATATTCCAGTTTAGCAGCTCATGGGGAAAACCTAAGAACCTCTCTTTCTGGGACAGGGCACAGCATCGGGGCCTGCACCTGCTGGGATGCTGCACACACTAGGCAAGTGCTCTACTACTAAGCCACATTCCTCAGCCCTTTCTGAAAATTGTCTTTTGAGGAATGGTCTCACTTAGCTGCCAAAGCTGGCCTGAAACACAATTCTCCTGTCTCAGGTTCGAGTGAGTGGAATTACAGATGTGCACTACCAGGCCTGCCTAAGCTTGTATAATTACCAACTTTCACAGGCCTTCAAATTCTTCTAAGACAATAAAAAGAAAGCAGCTCCTTATAAGCTGCTGGGCCTCTCCCAAAGGGAGAGGTTTTCAAGCTGAGCTCTTGGCAGTAACTTTCCCGCCCCTCCAGAGGCTCTGTAACCAAATGTGGGTACACCAGAACAAACCAAAACCAAGTGATTTAATAGTGGGGAGAGCTCCCAGCAAATGGCACCTCTGGGCAATGTTTTTAAGTCAGAGCAGCCAGCAGCCATCAGCCAGCAGCAGAGAGGCAGGAGGACAGAGGACAGAGGACCATCACGCCACCCACACCCACCTCGCCTGGCTGCAGAAACTACTGAATTCTGCTAGCTCTACTGTTGAGTTCTCTACAGCACACGTGGCAGAGGGGACAAGCAAATACCGACCTGATAAAAAGCCACATCCAGGAGGAGTTTTGCCCAACTGAAGTGTTATCCTACCAGAAGGTGGGGAGAGACACCTTGGGGGAGCAGTGGAGGGGTGAGAGCCGGGCCAGGAGAGTCATGGGGCCTGTGCACTGTGGGGATCTGAAGGAGACAGCATTCCAACCAGGGGCCTGCCTGCGGGCCTGCCACACTGCCCACATGCAGCAGAAGTTAGTGTCCGGAGGACACGGGTCAGTATCTGGGCGGCCTGAGTGTCTTTACTGACCATAGGCCTCCGTGTGCATCAGTGTCCAGCTGAGCTCTGATGCCACAGCTGTTACTGACCTCACCACTACGGTCAAGGTGACATGGCTGTTGCTGTAACTGGTTTTCTCTGTATGCCAATGTCTGGATTGCCTGGGGTCATAAATAATACTGCAGCCCAGCCCTGAAAAACCAGGCACCAGGCAAAGAAGCTGCAAACCCCAGCACAAAAAACAAACAAAAAAACAGAAACAGGAAAAGACAAGACAGCAAATTGCCTCCAAAGACTCTTAACAGGTAAGTATTCGAGCCATACCCCCACAGGGAGTAATACACACTGGTTCCGTCCAGTATAACACAGAGGCATTCTACCTTGGCACCCGAAATCCCTAGCTATCCACGAAGTTGAAGAGGAAAACATCAGTACAGTCAAAGAAAAATACAGTGTGCTACAGAAATTCAGAGGGGAGTCAGTGTTTGTGGGGGACAAAGGATGGCATGGGGAATCTGAATGGCCCCAAGGACGGGGTTCAGCAGACAGACACAGAGCACTGGGAGGAGGGTGAGTCTGCCCACCAAGGGGGACCTGCAGCATGGTGACACCAAGGCCCCACAGACACAGGCAGCTCCGCATGGAGACTGCGCTCCTCTCCCTCCGGTCTCAAACGCTTCTTAACCTACCACAGGAAAACACCAGAGAAGTCTGCCGGCTCAGGTTCTCAGGCATATTACTCCTCATCTTTTAAAATTTAACGATTGGCATATTTAATCCACTAGTCCAACAATAAGTGGTTGGTTAAATAAAACTATATGTTCATAAAGGCAATTATTAAAAATGATTGAAACTTCAGAAAATATTTGTATTACTCCTTGGAAAAGCAGATTATAATAACATATAGTATCTCACTTGGAGGGAAAAAAAATCCCACACACGTACAAAGATTAAAACATCAGGGCGTTGAATCAGCTTATCTGGAAAACAGATTGGTAGTAATTTCTTGGTTTTTGACTGCCTTTGTTTTCTATAAGTACTGTGTTAGTTCAGTAGTAAAAAGAAAGTTATCAAAATCTTAAATAAAAAAACAAATGACGAAGGCCTAAGTGTATGGCAGTGGTATAGCATTTGCCTAGCAAGCTGAAGCCCTGGGTTTGATCCTCAACACCACAAAACAAACAAGCAAACAAAACCCAATCGATTATCAAACCATACAATATCAAACGATACATATTTTTCTTCCTGTGACAACAAAAGAATTACTCTTCTTTACTCCATTCTTTATTTATTTTGAGACAGAGCCTGTGTACCCCAGGTTGGCCTCAAACTTGGAATCTTCCTGCCTCTGCCTCCCAAGTGTGGGGATATGGGTGTGCATGATCACCCCCAGCTCACTCTTACAACCTAACAGGCAAAACCCAAGGGCTGAGTGTGCTCAAAAGCTCAAGGGTTATACACGATGAGGCCACCATTCCAAGCACTGAATAAATGTCAGGATGCGAAGTAAGAGCAGACTCACCGGCCATGAGCAGGCAGATAATGCACATCGAGAAGGCAACCACCATGATAATGGGCAACTGGAGGAGGGAAAGGAGGAACCACCATTAAGATCAATCACCAATGGCCAACAACGAGTCCTGCACACTTTTCTCGGAACAAGAGTAAAGCTCTCTACAAGCTGCTATGCACACTCTCTTTTCCCCTGGCCCGTTCGCTCTCACACAGGAAGGGCAGCCCAGCGTGTGGCCCAGAAGGGAACAAAGCTCAGGGCGACTTTACTCCCCACCCTCTCTCTGCGGAAGCCTGAGTGTCTGTATCCCATTTAGAACAGCAGAGCATGTCTTCGGTAAAAAGAGTTGGCGACATCTACACCTTCGGACAAAGCTTTCAACAACTTGGAAAAAAAATTAAGGTTTCTTACAGCCAAGAATTTCCAGTCCCTTGGAACACTTAAAGGACTGTGAGATTCTAATTCATCCACTGAATAGTTCCCAAGAAATAAGTCAATGGAATCCTGAAACAGAGAGAAGGACATTAAATCCCTAAACTTGATGTGGTTACATGACTGAAGAAAAATGCAAACTCACTATCACCCAATGACCAAAAATCAACACGCTTACTTGTCTAAATCCATCGGAAAAGTTGTTTTTGTAGTAGCGGATCAGTGAGTTCCAGCCGTCCATTACAAGTCCCAACTGCGTTCTCTTCCCCGTTCTGGTGAAAAGAGGTTCAATATTAAACTCGAAACTTGCACACTAAATTCTCAAGTTATTTTATGGCTAATGTGGGAATAAAGGAGTTACAAAGATGTTAAAAATCACTCCTGAAAATAGCCATTTTACAAAAGAAGTCACTAGTGGTTCCGAGAAACAGGCACTCAGTGTCGGGGAGGGTCACTCGAGTCCGCAGGTGCCCAGCACTTCTGTGTCAGGGTGCGACATTCCCACAGCGCCCTCCTGTGGGCTGTCCATCACCTGCGGTCTGAATTTCCGGTAACAGTTGTTACACCGTTATTTAGGGGATAATGCCAAGGAATAAAGTGTGTGTATGCTCAACCCAGGCACAATTTTTGTTTGACCATTTTTAATCTGTGGTTGGTTGAATCACAGCCATACAGATATAGAACCCACAGACACAGGGCCAACTGTAAGCAAGAACAAAAAGAAAAAAAAAGAACAAAAAGAAAAACAGTTCTAGCTACAAAGACAGGAAGTATGAAGAGAAACTCACAGTACTGGCTGAGTGGTATGAAATGGCAGTGACTAGAAACAGTATTTTGGTCCCAGGGAATCCATAAGTCTGTACAGGAGGAGACCCAAATGCCCCAGTGCCAAGTCCACAAGTTCTAACTCATCCCTGGCCAGTGCGGCCCTCAACACAGCACCAGCAGCAACCAAAGCTCTTAGAGATGCAGCTCGCAGGCCACACCAGGCCTGCAGAACCTGGGCACATGGAAAAGTTCAAGAAGCCTGGCACAGTCCTGGGTCTCCACCCACTGTGCACCAAATTCCCAGGAAGTCTAAGACCCCACTGGCAGCCGGGCCTCGTCTCCCGACATCCCGAACACTGGCGCTCTGAGGCAAAGAGGCAGCTTGCCTGGTAAAGTCAGTTTTCAAGGCACCGGTTCCTGCATACTGTTTGGCACAAGCATTTGCGTTGTCAGCCCAGGCTATAAAAAAAGTTGAGAAGAGCAGATAATTAAAATGATAACCATAGGTTCTAAATAAAAATATCAATTTATTTTTAAAAATTGAGCAAGTCTGCCTCTATTAAAGAAATCACCTACCATTTTTATAAATCTTCTCAAATTCATCTTGTTCTTCAAGCTTCTGTCCCACATGCAAAACTCCTAGTCTCTAGAAGGAGAACCACACCCACATTTATGAGGGACAGATTTCGGCAGACACAACTTAGCAAGAAAAAGCCAACAATCCCCAAATCCTGTCATGTGTCCTGGCTGCTGGCCACAGGGCCTTCTCCCAGCCAGGACAGGCAGCAAAGCCTTTGCAGAGGCTCCTGGGCCGCACCAAGGCAGCCCCAGCACCACAGGGACAGGGCCTGCAGGCCAGGAAAAGGCAGCAGGAAGAGCATGGCTACTATGGAATGTGGGGTGTGAGCTGCCACTTCCTCCTTCCTCTCACCCTAAACTTTTGCTGTCTCTGCCCCTTCTGCCTGTCACAAGGCTCCCCATCTCTAGGTGTCCTCACTTCTAAGTCACCCAGGGACTTTTGGGGTCCACCATCCACGCGCCTGAAATCCTGGCCCTGCCCTTTAGCTCAGCCCATCAGCTCTCCCAGAACTGCCATCTTTGCTCACTGTCTTCCTGAGAATTGGCTGTTCCACCCTCAGCCACAGCACAGAGCCACCCTCCTGGCTCATAATTGGGTAAAAGCTCTGTCCCTAATGGAGTGGAAAACTATAAACTGAAGAGTCCCCCACACTTGCTGGCAATGCTGCTCAAGACGTGGCCAGGAGGCTCTCTGAAAATACATGAGATTTCATAACACTGCATTTAGCATGGAAAAGAGTAAAACATAATCGCAGAACCTACTTAAACAGGGTGTGGTTAGTCAGCCATGGAAACAAACCACTCTTCACAGTGTTTCTACTGAAAAATGGGCTCAAGCATCTCCAGCAGGCAGAGGGGCAGCAAGGTAGAAAGCAGGGATTGCTCTAACAGAGTACACTCACTGTGGTGGGGTGTTACAGTTCAGAAACAATTCACCCCCAAGGAGGTATTGTACCCCACAATTTCCTCCTGGGATCACACCTCATTACTTGCAGAAAAACATGTGAGAGGCCCCTTTGGTCCTGCACAAAAAGTGCCACAATGACTTAGAAATCTGGGTTGTGGCATATTTTTCACTGCAAATAAAACCAGAAGATATTTATATCTCTTTTTCTCATTAGCACATTAATCTTAAAGGTAAAACATTGTACCTGGAAGTTAACATACTCTGCCAGTAATAAAGGATGCAAATGCAAACAAACTTGAAGTACAACTTTGTACTATTAAAATAGAAAAAAATTGTTTTAAATAAAAATATCTAACTAGCAAGAGTTCAATAAAACAGATTTAGTTATTCATTGCGGACATCACTGTGAATTGGTAGAACCCTCTTGGAAAGTAATATATTCTCTTTAATACAGTAATGTACCAACTCTAGAATTAAGTCAATGGAAATAATCCAAGTTAATAATAAAAACAGATATATTCTCTGCAGTATTATTTAAAAGCCAGAGGCACAGCTGGGCGAAGTGGCACGTGCCTGTAATCCCAGTACTCGGAGGCTGAGGCAGGAAGATCACTGTGAGTTCGAGACCATCGTGGGCTACATCGTGAGTTCCAGGTCAGTCTCAACTACATAGTGAGACCCTGTCTCAAAAAAAAACAAAAAAATGGGCCGGGGATTTAGCTCAGCGGTTTGGTGGCCTGCCTTGCAAGCGCAAGCACCCGAGTTCAATCCCCAGTACCAAAAAAAAAGGCCAAAGGCACAGCAACTTAACTGGCTTAGTATATTATAGTACAATACAATTATTAAAAATTATACGTAAATGTGAAAAGACTGCAAAATTTAAAATTGTGCATCCATGTTCTGACCATGTGCGCAAAATGACAGTCATACACAAAAGAAGAAATGGTTAGGAGAGGGTGGGGCAATATGAGTAGTTTTTAAAGATAAAATGTTATTTTTTACCACACTATTTTTCAATGAAAGAGAGAAGAAGAATTCGCACTTGAAGCTGGGCCTGAAGTGAACGTCGGGCTAACAAGCTCTGGACCACGTTGGTTCTGTCGAGACAGTCCATGCAATTGCTGCGGAACACGCCCTCCTGGTGTGTCACCACCTTGCCGGCAGAGTCTACTAGGAAATAACTAAAACACATTTGTATAAACACTCTCATACCCAAATAGGTCAGACGTACTGATGACACTCCTTCAGTGCCATTACTAAGCCCATAAATTAAAAGGTCACTCAGGAAGGCACAGACAGGCTTCTTGTATTACCCTACAGCACACAGAGGTGTGGCTGAGACAACACAGCCCCCATCCAAAACACAGCTGTGTTTTAGAGGCCGCCCCACCTAAGAGAAGGAAAATGCAAAGGTAGAAGTATCGTGAAGGTTGCTGTGGACAGCAATCATGTTTCCCAAGCCAGAAGAGGCTTCCCTGAACGTGACTACAACTGCAGCACTACCTGGTCCCTGTTCAGTTCGTATCAGAATCTCCAGGGCAGCTTGTTAAGAACGAAAATTTTTCTCCTTGAGATCAACTACATCAGAATCTCTGAAGCAGAGATTAGTTACCGCACACCAGAGAGAGCTGTTTTGGCTCTGGGGACTGAACCCAGGGCCTTCAGTCTACAGCCCCCTTTAAAATTTTGAGATAGGGTCCTGCTAAGTTGCCCAGGCTGGCTTTGAATTTCTGCTCTCCTGCCTCAGCTTCTGGATTAGCGGGAGGCAAGCACCCACAGAACAGGCTTCTCTCCTTTTCAAATGAATACCACTGCAAATAGTATAAAACATAAAAAGTACACTCAGGTATTGTCTGAAAAATCAGCTTCCCTTTCTTCCCTTAACCACCTGGATTATCTGGGCTGCAGCCAGTCGTGGTTACCAACAGCTTCTGTTTTTCTGTAACGAGCTTCTCAGGTAATTCTTTCAACTCAAAAATGTGACAACACTCAATGTAGTGGTTAAGAACATTGGACTCCAGGAAACAGTAAATAACCTGTTTTCTAGGCTTGTACTACAGGCAACTTCCTAGCTGTACAACTAAAATAAATTCTTTCACTCACAAAATGGAGGTGACACCACCACCCTTAAGTGGCCCTAAGGCACGACGCACAGGAAGGTGCGAAGCGGCGTACACAGCAGAGCAAGAACACCAGACAGCACTAACCCTAGCGCCCCCAGGGCCCTAAGGAAGGGGGACAGGTAGTGCGTCTGTCAAGGGCTAAACACAAATCACTCTCCTGGTACAAGAGCCAGAAGAAGGGATTCAGGTGAGAAGCCGACACGGGGTCAGGCAGAATTCTTGAGGTGGGTGTAGAGGCGGCAGGCATACGCGTGCATGCAGGAGGACACGCGTGAGGGCACCCCCTCCGTGCCCATAAGACAAACACGGAGGAACATATCACTTCCTAAATTGTGCAGTCCTCTGTCAGGTGGACACCATCTTCACTTTACACATGCAAAGTTTGAAGACAACCAACAAGCCCCAGGGCCACAGGCCTAATGAGATAAACTGAGACTTAAACGAAGGTACATCAGGACTGAAGGCCCAGATTCTCTCCACTCCCAAAGCCCTGCCAATAAAACATCCTCGAGAGATGTGAAGGCCACAGGTCAAAGTCCCACTGTTCCTGGGCACACAGTGAGCAGCAGTGGGCAGATTCTGGTGCCAATCTTCCTTCTCTGTTACAGTCTTGTATGACCACACTTATGGAGAACCCACCACTCCAGCTGCCTAAAGCCATGCCAGACCCAGCCAGTGTTTTCACTAACAACGCAACAAAATAGGTCCGCCTCCCTTTACTTGTCATTCTCACGGTAAAAGCTCACAAAAGAACTAGGTGCAACACATTCCCAGCAGCTTGAACCACCAGTGGTACACGCATGACTGTCCCACTGGCAGCTTGTACCTCCAGGCCCAACCACTGCCACTGATACAAAGCGCCCCACAGGACAGGCACGCATGTGCCACCGGTGGTTGAAGCTGTCCGCAGTGACAGACAGGTGACGGCCCCAAGGTGACTGTGTTAACTGTAGGTGGTCACTTTACTGAGCAAATGTCTACTACAGAGGTTTTACTACTAAAACTCTGACTAAAACTGTTATTTGAGTTGTCAGGATTAGAACTATCACACAAGCAGGATAAAACAACAGAATGATTTATAGATTCCTTAAACTAAGGAAGGCTAACATACACTTGTAATGCAGTAAACCTGTGAAGCAAAATGATAAATAAAACAGCAAAATATACAGAAAGCCCCTCAAAGATGCTCCGACCTGTTGCTCCATCCACCCTACTCCCGAGCTGCTCCCCCGAGCTGAAGGTGTTTATCTATATGCACCCAGAGTGATCTACTGTAGCACAGCTTTCACAGTAGGAAGAGAAACAGAAACGAAGCAAGATACTCAGAGTAAAGAAAAGCATGTACTTAAAACGATGCTATGACCAACAGAATACAGAAAAGCCACTAACACCACCATCACAGGTTACGTGGGTTAGTAACAAAACACCCACAACCAAAAGGTCAGTGAAAACGTCTGAATATAAAACACTGCTAAGTCAAATTCATTTACCAGTATATGAGAATTTATAAATGCATGAAAGACAATTTGTAATATGAATGTACCTAACCTTGTCACTTTTAAGAATTTAGAAATATTTTTAAAATACCAACTCTCACTTTTCCAACAAAAATTTTTAAAAATAGGGCCGGGGATTTAGCTCAGGGATTTTGCCGCCTACCTCACAAGTGCATGGTCCTGAGTTCGATCCCCAGTACCAAAGAAACAAACACAAAAAATGTTTTAAAATAATATACAAAAGCAAAGACAATCCAGTAAACTTTTGTAATGTGACTGACAGACACACATATATCCCCTTCCCTCTATAAGAAAATAATACAACTTACCCTAATTCATCTTGCATTTCTGCTACCTGGTCCATTAAAATGCTCAGTCGATCCCATCTCATGTGTCTGCATTCCTTATGGAAGTCAAAGGCAATGTATCTGCAGAAAGAAAACACGCAGAAATCAACAAGAGATCGCTTGTCTTCCGTTAATGCCTTACTGAGCGGACCCCCGTCTCGGAGCACACACACATCTGAAGAACATGACGGACCCCTGCACTCTGGGCTTGCCCCACTACCCCACCTGCTCATGATCGCAGTGACACACACGCGTGCGCGCGCGCACACACACACACACATCCCTATGCTCGCTGCTCCCCCAGGGCCCTCAGACAGGAGCCGACAAGCACAGAACATGCGGGTAGAAGCGGACTCAAGGGCATGAAGAGGGGCTGCTCATGCTATCTAGGCTGCGTTCACGTGCACAGAACAGGCCGAAGCCTTCGTGTGACATTTTAAGCCACTTGGCATGTTCAGAATGGCCAGACACGGCGGCTCCGTCCGTGTGCTGCACACCAGGGCTGTGGGAGTCGAGGCAGGCCGGTCCCCAAGCATGAACGATGGCCTTCCTTCAGAGCCTTGCCTTCCTTTCTATGTCTGTGCCTCGCACAACTGTGTGGCAGAGTAATTTTTTTGCTCGTCAATCCGCAATGAGCTTTTAACAGTTACTAACATGTGAGGGACACAGGACTAAGTGCTGGGTATCCAGTGTGAAGGTGCTGCCCCGTGAGACGAAACGGCTGCTCTTCAGAGGGAACAAAGCTTTCCCCAGGCAACGAAGTCAGGGAGCCGAGTGTGGGGAACAGCGAAGGGCCCATCTACTGCACTCCGGCCCCTTCCTGTCCCGGAGTAGCAGCACCAAAGGGACAGAGCAGACCTGCCCTGCGGGGCTGCACAGCCATGGGCTTCAGGGACACAGATGCCCCCGCCCCACCCCGGCTATCTGAGGTCAAATCAGTGCCCAGACGCAGGTCAGCCAGGCGACAGGAGTGCGGGAAGCGTCCTCCCGGGGATTTAGCTCAGTGGTTCCTTCCGCCACCTGCCTCGGAAGCACAAGGTCCCGAGTTCGATCCTCAGTACCGGAAAAAAAAAAAAAAAAGGCAACTCCAGCAAGGGTCACAGTAAGACAGCTGCTTTCAGACTGCCCCGACCAGAAGAATCAGCTCTCAGTTTAAAGAACTAAGCAGCTATAAAGCATTAATCAAAACAAAAGTTTTATACCTATTGCCTGTAATACTGTATCGTACATGTAAAGATTTGTTAAAAAGGCACATCGCATGTTGTGCTTTGCCTCAGTAAAATAAAGGAGGAAAAAAAGAAAAATCTCAAAACTGAACAAAAAGAATCCATGTAGTTCCTTAGCATCTAAACATATTTATATTCTTAAGCTTATATCCCTGGGCTAAATCATATTCATATCTTTTAAGAATGTCACATAGCTATACTTGGACAATATTTTAATATTTTACTTTAAATATATTAGTTTACTTCTGAACCCAACAGTTGCTTCTCTTCAGGTTCTAAAACACTTAGAAACACACCCTGTCACAGCCCACTTGTTTCCAAAAGAAGAACTTTCCATGCTAATGTGCCCACTGCTCCTCGGAAGCAGGACCGCCACTTTTATTTCCAGTCTTTCATAACTCAATCCACTCAAGTCCCAACTTCAAAAGCTAAAATCTAAACAGAACAACGGCTGCCTCAGGGACGATAATAAATCTACCATATGACCTCACACTTAACCTAACTCGCTGACTATTTTCCCCGGACAGAATTCGTATTTATTAAGTTTAAAAAATTCAAGTGCACTTTTCATTAAGCTCCCCTTTCTAGTGGCCTTCAGAACTCACAGATGGGAAATAAATTAGCTGTGGTCACTCACTTCTGAATCACAGGTGCCCTCCACACTCCCCCAACAGCATCAAAGTCAGCGGCTCTGGAAGCGAAGCACCCACACAGCTCCTCTGTGGCATGGGCCCTGAACTGAGGGGACAGAGGGAGCCAAAGGGCGAACTTTCTCCAACCCCGCAGGATCGGCACAGGCTGCTGAGAAATCCGTTCTGAGTCTCCCACAGTGTGGGAGGGCACTGCCAGAAGGTGGATGTGTGTGTTTAGATGCAGTGAGAATCTGAGGAATTACTGGAGCTTTTGAACGGGGCTAGAAGGACACATCATCCCCAAAGAGTCACTCATCTTATATATTCAAGCCAGTACCAGGGGGTCCCCAAATGACCATGCCATTCCTACCACAGTATACCCCCCTTTCCGTTACTTTACCCCTTTCCACAGTGCAGCTTATGACTCGGGGTATACAGTGTTTGCAACTGATGCCTGGAGCATGGCAGGATGGGCAGAGCACTGCTCCAGGTCAGCTACATGGAGAGCTCCCCTGCTCCGCCCTGGTGGGAGCTGGCACCACAGAGGCCCAAGGTACCACCACCATGACACGGCCTGACGCCCACTGCCCACGAAGCCCCCGGGGACAGAAAGCATCAAGGAGGGGATTTTCACTGGGGACCAAACTCAAAGTTACTCTGCAGCATGAATTTTGTCAACGCAAATTTCAAACCAACAACAACAACAAATCATGCTTTGGTCTAGTACTGAAATCAATGCAGGCAGAAGGAACAGTGAGCTCTACGCACTGGTGTATGCCCGTGACTACACATCTGACCTGAAAAGAACCACAACACACTCCCAGCAGGGTACCTGATCATCCCATTGCCCAAGGAAGACACCATGGTTGCAAATGCCTGTTCAAGGGGCTTTTCTGAGCCCTTCTGGTTTACCTGTAAAAAATTAAAAATAGCACAGCTTTCAGTTTATTTCCACAGAGGCAGTGAGTGAAACCAGGCAAAGAGCAAGGATGCTCCAAGCATTTCTTCTGGCGAAAGTGGTAGGGGGCTAATCTGTGCTACCCGGGAGGCCCAGACTGGGACAGTGCAGGTCAAGGCCAGCCTGGGTGAAGGAGCAAAATACCACCTCAATCAAGACAAACACCACGGGTCGGGGATTTAGCTCAGTGGTTCTGCTGCCTGCCTCGAAAGCGCAAGGTCCCAAGTTCGATCCCCGGTACCAAAACAAAACAAAAACATACAACACCAACCAGAGCTATCTGACCAACTCTGTAGGAGCTATGGGGGAAAAAAAAAAACAAAGGTCTAGAGCCGCCAACCAGACAGCCAATCGAGAGAAAGCTGCCTTCCCAACGGCAGAAGAGCACTCTGGCATTTTCATTCATCGTCCCCTGGCCTCCTTCTAAGAAGGTGCCAAACGTAGCAGAAATCTTAGCTCAGCTCCCTTCTGGGAGCCAAGTGAAGCAGAACAGGCCTTGCTTGTGCCCCTCTTCTCTAACCTGAAGGATTAACTCACTCATCTCTGTCTCGAACGACAGAACACAGGTGGGGAAGCCCAGACTGCTTAGAGGAGCCACAAGAGGACTTCGGACCACCAGACGCCTGCAGCAAGAGACTCTGGACCCAGACACACACTGGCCATCCAGAACCTGGGAAGGGTGCTGGGTGCTTCTCTTTGGGAAATAGGGACATTCAAGAGCACCTTGAATAGGGAGTTTTGACAGCTGCCCCCATACCCAGGAAGATGCATGCACAGAAGAAACCTTCCCTGTCAGGCTACTCCCTGGTCTTGCAGTGAGCCTGGCCACCTGGAGAAGGACCGTGCCAGCAGAGACAGCTGACAGAACGGGAAATGGGGCTGTGCTCTCATTTGCGTTTTGTTCACTTTGCTAGTGTTTCAATTCCTAGAATTCAATAAATCTGTCAAAAATGTTAGCTGAATGTAGTTAAAAAATAAAAAAGGAAAGAAGTTTTAGGATAAGAAACGGTTTTTGCCAAAGTTGTTTGGAAAAGGCTCTCAACCAATAGATTACTACAGTCTTCAATCAAAAACAAAACAACACAAAACAAAAGATACAGGGGCCGGGAATTCAGCTCAATGGTTCTGCTGCCTGCCTTGCAAGCAGAAGGTCTTGAGTTTGATCCCTGGTACCAAAAACAAAAAAACAAAAAACAAGTCCCAACGGAAGGGAGAACTCTTTTCAGAATTATCACATTATAATAATCAAATACATCATTTAAAAAAGAATCACAGGCAAGCTCAGCGTGGTGGTGCACACCTATAATCCCAGCCTTCAGGAGGCTGAGGCAGGAGAATCGTTGTGAATTCGAGGCCAGCCTGGGCTACACAGTGAGTTCAGGGACAGCCTGAACTACAAAGTGAGACCCTATCTCAAAAAACAAACAAAAAGTCACAGGCACACAAAGAAACAGGAAAATATCATTCATCCAAAGGAAAATCAACAGGCAAAAACTGTTCCTGAGGAAACAAAGACATCAGGCTTACTACACAAGGACTTCAGAACAATGATCTTAAATATGTTCAATGAGCTACAGGAAAATATAGACAAAGAACTAAAAGGAAATCAGGAGATAATATACAAACAAAATCAGCATATCAAAGAGAAATTATTCAAAGGACCAAACAACAGGTTATAGATGAAAAGCACAGTAATTGAAATAAACTGAAAACTTTAGTAGGAGTCCAACAGCAGATTCAAGTAGGCAGAAAAGAATCTGTACTTCAAGATAGAAAACCTGAAATCAAACTGAGGAAAAGAAAGCACAAGAGGTCGGGAGTGGTGGCTCACGCCTGTAATCCCAGCACTCAGGAGGCTGAGGCAGGAGGATCGCTGAGTTCGAGACCAGCCTGGGCTAGAGTGAGTTCCAGGTCAGTCTCAACTATATAGTGAGACCCTGTCTCAAAAAACCAACAACAACAAAAAAAAGAAAGAACAAGAGCTGGAGATGTAGCTCAGTGGTAGAACACTTTCTAGCATGTATGTTGCAAAAAGAAAAGAATGAAGTGAACAAAATTAGCAAACTTCTGGGACACCACCAAGCTAGTGAGAAAAAAGAGAAGTAGAGAGATGACCTGAATAAAAAACTGGCCCAAAACTCTCCAAATTTGATGGAAAGATACGAATCTTCAAATGCAAATGCAAATCCAAGAAGGATAAACTCAGAAAATTCAAACCAAAGACATTATAATTACATGTCTGAAAGTACAGAGAGAAGAGACTCATTATCCACAAGGAGTCCTAATACAGTTATCTCTGATTTCCCATTAGAAATCAAAAGGGCAGAAGGCGGGGGAATGTCACATGTAGCATGTTGGGGGTGGGTCTAGGGATGCAGCTTATAGTAGGGCATTTAATCGGAATGCATATGGCCCTGGGTTCAATCTCCAGGAACTCAAAGAAAAAAAAATCTGGTAAAAAATGTCAACCAACAATTCTATATTTAGTAAAACCACCCTTTAAAAATGGGAAGAATGGGCCAGGGATTTAGCTCAGTGGTTCCAGAGCCTGCCTCGCAAGCGCAAGGACCTGAGTTCGATCCCCAGTACCACAAAAAAATGAGGAAGAGCACTAACCCTAACCCATGATCTTTTATGGAAAAGGCCATAAAAAAAAATCCACACAAAAAAGCTGTCAAGAGATAATTCAGCAAAAGTGCAGCAAACAAAAACCCACACACAATAATCAGTTAATTTCTATGTGATAACAATAAAAAATTCAAAAAGTTAAGAAACAGTTCCATTTACAAGAGTATCAAAAAGAATACGCAGGAAAATTCAACAAGAATAAATGAGAATAAACTTAGAACAAGAAAAATATTCTCACTAAAAAAAAAATTTAAAAAGCATAAAAAGTTGAAAGACGATTGTGTTCATGGATTCACAGACTTAAAATTGCTCCAATGACAAGGCTACCAAAAGGGATCTGCAGATTAAATGCAATCTTTATTAAATGGCGTTTTTGCAGAAATTTAAAAAACCCTCCCAAAACTCAAATGGAATTTCAAGGGACTCAAAATAGCCAAAATAATTTTGAAAAGATGAGGAAGAAGTTGGAGGGAGGTCTCTTACTTACTGATTTCAAAACTTATTACAGAGGGCTGGGGATGCAGCTCAGAGCCTGGCAAGCACAAGGTCCTGAGCTTGACACCCAGCCCCAAAACACGCAAACAAAAAACTACAGAGAAGCCACAGGAATTAAAATAGTATCATACAGGGACAAGGACAGATGGAGAGCTATAGAACAGAACAGTGAGTCCAAAATTAGCCCTTATATATGTGTCCAAATCATTTCTGGCAAGGATGCCAAGACCATTCAATAAAAAACAACAGTCTTTTTGGCAAATGGTGCTGGGAAAATAGAACACTGACCCTTACCATACATCATATGCAAAATTAACTCTGTGGGAGAAATCCAAGCCTGGCTGGGCCCAGGTGCACTGCACTCCTGTCTCCTGAGCTAACTCGGAGACCCTGCTAAGGCTGAGCTAACTCGCCTAAGTGCATACATAGATGCTGGGTCCCACAGGCTGCACCTCCGCCCCTAGTCCCTGACTCCTTCGCCTCACCCAAGAAAAACCACTCACTCCACCGTGCCCTCCAATAAGATATCGCCAAATGTTAAATGCTCCTCGCCCATGGTTGTCCCAATATAAGCCCGTGCATTTCCTGAATAAAGCGGAAGCTTTCCAGAAACCTCCCCGGAGTCTGCCTGGTGATTCCGTGCCTTACCCTCCCAGTCCGAGCTCCCAAACCTTGCTCCAAGAGCAGGCTTGTGGACGACAACAAAAGTCAAAGTGGATCAAAGTCCTAAATGTAAGACCTAAAACTATAAAACTCTTAGAAGAAAATAGAGGGGCAACTCTTAATGATGTTATATTTGGAAATGCAGTTCTTTGATATGGCACCAAGACCACAGGTAACACAAGAAAACACAGGTAAGTTGGACTTCATCAAAATTTGAAACATTTGTGTATCAAAGGATATTATCAAGAAGAGACACCCAAACAGGAGAACATATTTGCAAAGCACTGATAAGGGCCTAATGTGCAAAAATAAATAAAGAATTATGGTAACACAACAACAGAAAACAAGCCTCCTGGTTAAAAATTTGGGATAAGGCTTAAGTAAAAAACTGGGCTTTCCACAAGCCAAAGACTGACCTGTATCTTTCACCACGCATTAACCTAAAATCGAAATGAATCAAAGATCTAAATAATAAAACAGAAACACTAAATCTGCTGGAAGAGAGGTAGAACACTTGAGGACATAGAAGTAGGCAAAAACCCAGAATGCACAGGAAATACTACCAAGAATCAACAAATGGGACCCCATCTTGTTAAAAAGCTTTTGCGCATCAAGTGAAACCACCAACAGAGTGAAGAGATAACCCACAGCATGGGAAAAAAAAAATTTTTTTACCAGCTATTCAGACAAAGGACTATTATCTTGAAAATATAAAGAACTCAAAAAGCCAGCAGGCACAGTGGCGCACGCCTGTAATCCCAGCACTTGGGACACTGAGGCAGGAGGGTTGCTGTACGATCCAGACCATCCTGGGCTACATAGTGAAGTTTCAGGTTAGTGTCAACCACATAGTGAGACACTGTCTTAAAAAAACCAAAAAACAAAAAAAAAAAAACAAAACTCAAAAAACCAGGTCTCCCAAATTTAAATACCCATTGAAAAAATGGGCATCTGAAATAAAATTATACTTCTCAGATAAAGAATTAGAAATGGCACATAAATATATGAAAAAAATGTTCAACATCACTGGTCGTTCAAGAGATGCAAATAGAACAACACTGAGATTCCATCTCACCCCAGAAAGAATGGCTGTTATCAAGAAATCAACCAGCTGGGCATGGTACACACCTGTAATCCCAGCACTCAGGAGGCTGAGGCAGGAGGACCCATGTGAGTTCAAGACCAGCCTGGGCTACATAGTGAGCTCCAGATCAGTCTCAACTATAGTGAGACCCTGTCTCAAAAGACAAAAAAAAAAAAAAAAAAAAAAAAAAAAAATCAACCAATTACAAATGCTGGTGGGGCTGCAGAGAAAAAGGAACCCTGCTCCACTCCTGGTGCAAGCGTAGACTGGTGCAACCACTGTGGAAATCAGTGTGGGGATTTCTCAAGTAACTAAAACTAGAGGTTCCATTTGACCCAGATACACCTCTTCTTGGTATCTTCCTGAAAGAATCAAAAGCGTCACCACACCACAGTGATACGTGCACACCCATGTTTACTGCGGCGCAATTCATAACACCTAAATCTTAGAAACAGCCCAAACGCTCATCAATTGACGAGTGGATAAAGAAGATGTGGCTTTTTTCTACAATAGAGTACTACTCTGCCACAGGAAGGATGACCTCCAGGCATTTATAGCTAAGGGGATGCACACCTTGATACCACACTTTAAGTGAAATACATCGAACACCCATGTTTAAATACTGCGTTATTTCTCCGATGTGAGAAACTGAACATGGAAATAAGGACTGAAATGTATAATAGATACTGCAAAACGGGAAGGATGGTAAGGGAAGGGAGAAGGGTGGGAGAGAGGAAGGAAGGGACAAGAAACAAGTGAAAACAGAAGGAAAACATAGAAACAAAGCTTTCGTACACAGGAAGGGGAGGAGGCTTGAGGGGGAATGGGATAAAATAAAAAATAAATTTTAAAGCATTTGGATAAAAAAGTTTTCCAAAAGAATACACAAATAGACATGTGACAAGATGGTGGTTGTCACTAGCCGGTACAGAAATGTGAATCAAAGCTACAGTGAGACACTACTCCACACCTATCAGGTGCTGCCTTTAACAACACCACAAAAGCAAGCCGGGTGTGGTGTGCGCCCTCGTAACTGCAGCTCTCTGGCACAAGTTGGGCCCAGCCTGGGCAACTTGGGGGGTGGGTATGGAAGAGAGGGAGAAGAGGGAAGCGGGGAGAGAGCAAGGCAGGGAGAGGATGCCCTGAGTTCAATTCCAAATTCCAAGACGAAATACAATACAAAAACAAAGTAAGAGGTCTTGAACAGACTAGAGAAAGTCGGACCTGGCTCGACTTCCAGTGGGAATGTGAAATGGGGCGACCAGAACTGGCATAGCGACCCACGTCTGTAACCCCAGCAAGAGGTAAGCGGATCTCTGCAAGTGTGAGGCCAGCTTGGGCTACAGGTGAACTGAACTACATACACAGCGAGACCCTGTCTCCAAAAATAAAGCAAAAGGGCTGGAAATTTAGCTCAGTGGTTCTGCCGCCTGTCTCGCAAGCGCAAGGTCCCGAGTTTGATCCCTGATAACCATAAAATAAGGCAAAGGCTGGGAAAAAAACAGAGTGGCTCCTCCAGGCACTGAACACAGAATCGCCATGTGACCCAGCGATCCCACTGCGAGGGATGAACCTCAACAAATGGAAGGAGACTTGCACGTCAGTATTCATGGCAGCTCGACTCAGAACCAAATGCTGGAAATAACCCAAATGTCTGCAGACCACTGAATGGAGAAACAAAGCAGGGTTGCACTTTAGAAAATTACGCAGTCTTTAAAAAGGAATGAAATTCTCAAACATGATAATCCTTTAACACATGACACCCAGGGAAATAAGCACAGACAGGGGCACATTTTGTGACTGCAATTACGTGGGAACCTGAGAGAGGCAGCACGTAGGAGCTGAGCAGCAGAGGGCTGCAGGCAGAGTGACATCGGGAACTCGCTGTTCCTGGGTACAGAGCTCCAGAAGTAGCAGAAAGTGGTGATGACAGTGCACACTGTGAAATACTCCACACCACCAAGCTGGAAATCCAAAAGCCCTTAACACAGTAAACTTTCTGTGAATTTAAAAAGGTCCTTCAGCAACCCCACCAAGAAACATGCAAGAAACATACCAGATTGATGATGATTTGTTTTCCATAAATAATTACTTGTGAATCAAAATGCCTTTGGAAACCATCCATCTAGAGGGAGGGAAAGGATATTATTTACTTTCTACATTATAGGAATAGTTACAATATCTGTAAAAGTATGCCCTCAGTGTCCTATTTCTGTATTGAGAAGAATGCTGTTAGGACAGGAACCGTGTCTTCTGGACAGTCGAACACCGTGCAGGACACAGTAACTAGAAGCCATTTTACTCCGAGCTACACAGCATCATTTTAACTTTAAGTACAACCTCGGCAGCACACGTGAAACACTCTAGACAGTGTGAAGCTGAGGCCTTCCTGAGGCCTCTCAGATCTGCATCTTCTGCACCCTGTGGTCAGCTTCTCTCCGCATTTCTCAACCGCCATCTCTGCAGGATTTGGGTTTAAGGCTACAATGTGAGGAACCTGGGAGAAGGGCCTCAGAGATGCTGAGTTCTGATGACTGGCCAACAAACACGTGTGCTACGAACAAACTAACATGCCTGGGTCTCTATGTTTAGCCAGATAAAACAGCAGGGAAGATACACACGTGATTTGCTACTTTGTTGATCTGTGGCAGTGGTTTGTACTTGAGGTTTGGTCTTTGGGACCAGAAAACAGGTATTGATCCTCGAGTCTAAAAGAAAAGAGAAATGTGGAAAGACACAAATCAACTTTGCTTTTCTGAACTTACTGTCGGCAATACAGATATTAATGGCTACAATGGAAAAAATAATACAAATGACATGCTATGGAAGAATACATGTGCACCTATTCTTAAGGTTCATATTTTATGGGAAGAGGCTCAGAAAGGACTTTTCCTCTTCACCAACTCTGCATCGGTTGACAGACAGGACCACACCCTCTTCCCCACACAAACACAAATGCAGCCATCTTCCCCAGAATCGTAAAACAAATTAAGTTGGTAAACCGAGGTGCCATTGTATATCTGTTGTAAATTCGTGGTATGAAAAAATAGAAAAGTGCTTTATTCATTCTCAAAGGAGTACCTTTATGAACATATGAATATTTTGGCCATGAAAGTGACCTATGAATCCTTAAGGGGCACCAAGGAGAGGTGTTACTGTACTTCCCTGAAGTACAAGGCAGGCACAGCCAAGCACGGCCTCAGCTCGCCCTGCCTCCATGGGCCCAGAGGTCTGCAGAGCCCTGCAGGGGAAGGCTACATCTCCACAGCTTCATACCCGCTCGCCCCCTTCAAGGATTCAGTTTAAGAACAGGAAATGCCTGCCAGTGCCAGACTATTCAACTACCCCTTTTTGGAGTGGACTTTTCCTCACTGTAGACAAAGATATCACTTAAGAAAGGAAGGGAAGGAAACAAGAACACTGAAAATTAGGATCAAGCAGACAAGGCCACCAGATGGACTAACTTACCTGTACAAACGAAGCTTTGCTCCCATTATAGTGCACAATTTGCTCTGTTTCTACAAAGTTAGCTGCATGGCCTTCAGAATCAATTCCTAAATTGAAAAAAATATTAAGTCAATTCTACATAAGAAACACCAGAAACTCACTAACTCAGGTTAACTCAGTTTGGATTAATGGAAAAGTACTGCACTTATAAAATTAAAATTCAAACAAATGCAGTACATGACCAGAAAAAAATAGGATTACGGGAGCATAAAGGCCTGTTAGTAAATGGGTGAAGTTGGCTGCTGATTTCTTATAAACTTCCTCTAAACAAGGGCTTCTTAAAGTTGAGACACGTTTTAAATAAAAAAAAAAAAAAAAAAAACTTCCCAAACATATCCATAATCCTACTTTGAAATTTTAAAAAATTATCACACTTAATAATAACTACACAATACTAAATGCAATTGTAGCCCACTATGTTAATATCATTACTTATAACAATGCAAATGGGGTCTAGAAAATGCTTAATTTTAGTTGTCAAAAAACTCTATGGGGTCTCAGAACACCTATTAGTCTAGGAATATGCCCACAAACCCAAAGCATTGCTCTGTAGTGTTTAAAGAGATGATACTGGTGAGGCCTTTCCAGTATCTGAAGGCTCCCTTTCAACACTGCCTATGTGACTTTTTTTTTTTTCTTCCTGGTACCGGGGACTGAACTTGGGCCCTTGCATTTGGCACTTGTGAAGCAGGTGCCAGAACCACTGAGTTAAATCCCCAGCCCGCCCCCCTTTTTTTGGTACTGGGGATTGAGCTCAGGACCTTGCACCTGCAAGGCAGGCCTAGTGCCAGTGAGCTAACTCCCCAGCTACATTATATATTTTTACAAACAAAGGCTTGCTAAATCAAAACAACTTTCAAGCTAGTTACCAATCCAAATTACCAGTACGTTATCAGTGGGAAATGAATGGACTTTGTAGTCCCAAGTATTTAACTCCCTTTCTACCTGCAAGCTGCCCTGAGACCCAGACCCCCAGCAAACCGTGGTTCCCTGTGGAGCAGTGAGCCTCGGGTGTCACAGCACCACTGGCAACGTGGCTCCACGAGCCAGCAACGCACAGAAGACCTACCCAACTGCTACAGTGGGAGGGCAGCAGTGTCTGGCCAGGACATAAAATAATAATGAATACAAAGTACGACAGGATACGGCCATGTCACTGTAAGACAAACGCTAACTGGGGACAGGTGTGAGCCCGTACTGACCCACGCCGAAAGCGACCTCACCTCTGACATAGTAGCGCACCCCCGCTCGGAAACAACTCCTCCTGGAGATGAGGATCCAGTCGAAGTACTTTCCGTTGACACAACACGAGTGCATGTTAATAACTGAACCACGTTAAGAAAAGTACAGCGCACACAGAGGCATGTATGATTTCTAGATTCAATCTGAACTTTTACCCTAATGAGAATGAATCGTCTTTAAGCGAAAAAAAAGGTCAGCGAATATGCCCGTCTTTTTGGTTCCTCATGAATACTCCTAAGACTGCAGCACCGCAAGTCGGGTCAGGGCAGCGGCCCTGTGGGGCCACAGAGCAGAATGCTTAAGCGCTCGGGACAGTGTCTCATTTAAACAGCACGGCTTCCTTTCCACAGTCCACTCTTTAAAGCTTTAAACCTACCACTGAAGAACCCCCTCGGAATGGAAAGGGCAATGTACAACAGGCGGACCCTAAGAAATGAAGGAGTGTGGACTACGGCAGCCACAGAAGGAAACCTGAAGCCCACTTTGTATCCACCTGGCCCCTTCCCTCACCTCCCAGCAGCCCCCGCCGCTCAGCACCCTCTGCCTGTGCTTCCAGCTTTGCTACTGACCAGGCCGCTATTTAATCTGAACAGTTTAAGGGGTCTTCCCGCGACAGCTCTCTTGCTTTATTTGATCACTGTGCTCCTGAGGCTCTGCTGCCACTGTGCCACATGACACTCCTGCCCACGCCCACGGACAGGGAGGCGGTGCGTCCCGGGCACACAGGAGGGCCTGGCCCTGCGCAGCGGCCACCATCTCATCTCACAGCACGCGCCAGATGGCTGAGACTCCCTCTGGCTTCGCACACTGCCAACACCTGGCTGGCACTGCCTCCTCCCCCATGTGTGCCAGACTGGAGAGGCTATGAGGACGGGTTTGTTCTGTTTCAACGGCAGTCCTCTTTCCCTTCCTCATTTGTTTGGGTTTTTCTTGCAGTTATTGTCTGTTCGTATCATTTTTTTAGTAACAGTAATTTTACTCATCCAATACGAAGCCTAATAAAGTAAGCAGCTATGAAGCTCCGACCCCGCCTGCTCCAGCCGCTGCCTGTTCTCAGGCTCACAGACACTGACCTCTAACTTCAGCTCGCAGAACAGAGACGGGGGGGGGGTATGGCACGGCACCACCGCAGTCACTCGCACGCCCTCCTCCCTGAGTCCCGCTGTCCTGACCCGCGGGCGAGCCCTGCACCGCACCGGCAGGGACCTACTCCTTCACTGGTGGAACTGCGGCTGGCCTGGCTCTAACACTTGGCTGAGGCTGCACAGAAGCGCTGCAAATTCACGAGGCAACGCCAAGGAAGCTCCAGTGCCAGGGACGCCAGCCCCTAGGTCATCGGCTCAATAACGGCTTCCAGATGGCACCAGAGGAGGCTCCAAGCAGGTTTCGTAATGGACTCGGCCAAATCATCTATTTTGAGCCAGGTCACAGAAATGAGTAAGACGGGCAGGCGCCTGCTTTTGACTCGCTACTGTACAGATCGCCTTAGCCTCCCCTGCTTACAGGACAGGCACACACTCGGGAGATTGGAGAGCACGAAGAACGCGAGGAAAATACAAACCCTAACTCCCATCACAGGGAAATAACTTGTGTGTGCCCTCGGCCTCCGCACTGTGCTCCAGGGACCTGGTAATACCTTTCACCATCCTCCTGCCTCCAGCCTCCCGGGGTGCTGGGATTACACTTTCCTTCTCCAAACACCCATTTCATACATTCTCGACCTCCAAAACTCCTGTCACCCCACTTCCGGCCCATGACACCACTTCCTAGTCCACTAGGGAAACAAAAGATCCTCCACGCTCCCGCAGCAGCCTCAACAGCGCACTCCTGCCTCCCGCGCCTCCTCTCTCTCTGACAGTGCACAGAGCACACCTCAGTCTGAGGACGGACTAAGGGGAGAGGAGGAGGAACGACATCTTCCCAGGTCCCAGCAGGCAGCGCGCTCCACCCGCCCGCAGCTCTCCGACTCCTCCATCTCCTCCATCTTGCGGGCTGGCTTCCTGCTCCACTGACCTCTGTGGGTCTGTCCCAGGACCTGCTTGCACACTCACTCTGGTTCCCTCATCCTCACTGGGTCTGCCGCTCTACGCTGAGTCGCACCGACCCTTCCAGACTCCGCGTATGACCCATCTGCACCCAGCACCTCTGCCTGGACACCCGCAGCTCTTCCCGTCAGTACCCTTAGATTCCGCACCCCAGCATGAGCCTGGTTTATGCTAATGCTCTACTCAAATCTCCCCAAAAGCTTTTCTTTTTTATATTTTTGCAGTTCTGGGGATTGAACCCCAGGCCTTTGCATGGAGTCTTAACCCCAATCCTTCTGTTTCTAAATTCTGAGATAAAGTCTCATTAAGCAAACTGCCCCGGCTGGGCTCAAACTTCTGATCCCCCTGCCTCAGCCTCCCAGAGGACACCACTCTGCCTGGCTTCTCAGGATCTTCAAAGTAAAAGCGGCCGTCTCTCCCAGGGCCTGCAAAGCTCTGAACAACCTGGGCACAGCTGCTTCCTGGCCCAGCTCCTCTTGCTCCTGCTCGGCACCAGGCACACTGCTGCCTGGGATTGAGCTCGCTGACCCATGTGTGCATGAAACTGATTTTCTAGTCGACGAACTACATGAAACAAAAGCACAAAATAGACTTAAAGCTTTAAATTTGAAGCTTAACAGGTAAACTGTTTCTAAAATTGTCTAGAAAAAGTAGTTTTGCAACCTCACTTGATATTGTCCATTCACTGTCGCATTCTGAAAACAAAAAGAAAACCAACTGGTCCAACCCTTTACGAACTAATGGTGTTTGTCCTCTTATCCTCAGGAGTTGCTGTGGAAACCCTGGGAGGCAGATGCAGAAGAAATAAGACTTCGCCGGGTTCTCCTCTCACTCTTCTGCCCCCATACAGTGGGAAATGTTACTTCCGCTATGCTCCTGCTTTTAAGTACAACAAGGACAGTAATTTAGTAAGATCCTATGGCACAGAGATAAACACATCAGACTACTGTGTTGTAAGCTTCTGGGGGCTACCTGATAAAGAGGGCCTGGCCTGTCCTGTCTGAGGGATGGTCCCGATCACGGGCTCTCATCAGCAGATGCCGAGCTATTCTTCCAGAGCCAACTCCCCAATAAAAGCTTCTCTGCTCTTATTACAAATCTCTGATGGGCTGTTTTTAAAATGAACCTAGGTAATCATTACTCATTCTGCCCTTATTATTATTTCTATCATTATTTCAAATGACAAGCAAAGTTTTTAACTGTACTTCTTTCAAGTTGCTGATCACCAAGTTCCCAAATATAACCTTTTTAATTACTAAGGGAGGGCCTCCTTTAAAAGCCACATACACACTACTCTTATACAGATGACTGGTATAAAATAACATTAAATAACACATATTCCGTTTCTTTCAACCACCAGCTTCAAAACTGTTAAAGGCAGCCTGGCATGGTGGCACATGCCTGTAATCCCAGCACTCAGAAGGCAGAGGCAGGAGGATCACTATGAGTTCGAAGCCAGCCTGGGCTACACTGTGAAATCCTGTCTCCAAAAAAAAAAAAGTTAGGGGTCAGGGATTTAGCTCAGTGGTGCTGCCGCCTGCCTCACAAGCACAAGGTCCCGAATTTAATCCCCAGTACCAAAAAAACCTGTTAAAAGGCAATAATTTAGTCTGAGAGTCCATTCTTTAACTAAAACAAAACCCGGCTGCTTACATTCCGTATGCTAAGATTTTACATCAATAATTTCAATGCTTTTATCAGTAACAACTTCTACTAACCCCCAAAGACTCTCTACATGCCACATTTGCGACTTTCCACAACTGCTTTGTAAGATTTAGAGAAAAGAATGATATCACATAAGGATACAGCCATGTAACACTGGAAGAGCAAATCGATGGACCTGAAATGAAGACACATATTTAGAATATACATTAAAATGAGCAAACAAATAAACAGAGCAGCATTGCATATAAGGCACATTACACACAGGAAAGTAATACACAACAGAACAAAGCAGTAAGCTTACTCAAAACTTTTTTGTTGTTGTTTTTTGTTTTTGGTTTTTTGAGACAGGGTCTCACTATGTAGTTGAGACTGACCTGGAACTTACTATGTAGCCCAGGCTGGTCTCCAACTCACAGAGACCCCCCTCCTGCCTCAGCCTCCCGAGTGCTGGGATTACAGGTGTGCACCACCACGCCCAGCAAAAACGTTTCTTTTTAAACAGATATTTCTGGTCAGGGATTTAGCTCAGTGGTGCCATGCCTGCCTTACAAGTACAAGGTCTTGAGTTAGATCTCCAGTACCAACAAACAAACAGATATTTCTATCATTACTTTAAGTATGCAGTAATCACTGGGGTTTGAATATTCAGATTTTGGAACACTAATTAAACCATGTGAAGGTGCAGAATATTTGCTTCCCTCCTTGGTCTTTGCCTACAACACTTCACACCTTTTAGGAAATGACTTTCCAAATTAATTACAGCTCAAATGACTTTTAAAAAAAAATCACAGCAAATGACAATAGCCAGATACAATGGTGCATGCCTGTAATCCCTGCTACTTGGGAGGTTGAGGCAAGAGAGTCACAAGTTCAAGGCCAGCCAGGGCAACATAGTGAGAATGTGTCTCAGAATTTTTAAAAAAGCCATGGATGTGGCTCACTGGACCCAGTGTTCAGTTTCCAATACTGCTCCCCTCAAGAAGGAAAGACAGCACACAAATCTATTTCCCTGGATTCAGTGCACCAGACTTCCCCTGCCCCAAGACTGAGCAGTGTTTCGTTCTGAGGCCACCACAGGTGCCTGCTCTGGGTCACCAGCTGGCAGCAGAACTGGGAGGCGGGGCTGAGTGGAAGAAGGCTGGGACACTGCAGGCTGGGCCCCAGGAGGAGACACTGGGACTTGACCCAGGCCTCTCTACTTTCCGTCCCCCATGAGGCAAGCAGCTCTGCTCCACCATGCTGCGCAGCCAAGCCACAGCCCAGAAGCACGGAGCCAGCCATGACCCAGGAAGCTGGGATCCACAATAATGTCCTTCTCCCAGGAAGCTGTGTATTCCTGGGATTTCGTCACAGTGATGAAAAGCTAACATAACAGGGGATCACAGTAAAACAACCAGGCTTCTTCAGCCTGCAGGGACAGGCGAGGGTCGAACTAGGCCGGGCCAGAACTAGAATCCGTCGTCCAGGGAGTCTCCGGACGTGCACTGCACTGACACTCAGGCAGTGACCACAAGCACAGGCGTGCGACTGTTACCTCGGGCTGCGCAGACAGCTCCCTCAGAAGATGACCGTTCCAGACGAATCGCTGATCTGCCTGAGAGAAGTCACACGCTGAGCCACTCAGAAAGGAAACTCCCGCAGCACTGGTGTCCCATCGGGTGCGAATCCCCCCACCCAGGAAACCTGCCCTCCTCGCCCTGCTGCTGTCCCTCTGACTCAACCCCAAGAACCCAGCGTCTTCTCAGGGGCTACCTCTCCCATTAACCATTCACCAGGCACTAAATACCCACAAAACCCACGCTCCCTCATACATTTCCCCACCTGGGCCACACCTGACCCCAGCCTGCTCCTCTGAGGGTATAGGTCAGCTTCCCTGCCTGGACCCCAGAGCTGAGCCGAGGGGTTCTCCTGTGTGCCTGACTCATAATGGGTGACAGAAACCTTTTCAATTCTGAATTTGATATATATTTAAACATGGTACCAGGCAAGGTGGTACATGCCTATAAGCCCAGGTACTCAGAAGGCTGAGGCAGGACAAGAGGAAGTTTGGGAACAGCCTAGGGATCTTAATGAGACTGTCTCAAAATAAATTAAAAAGTACTTGTTTGGTACAAGGCCTTGGGTTCAAATCCAGAACTACACATGAAATAAAAATAAAAAAGGAAAAAGACGCATGGCATGTTCTCAATTCCCCACCCAATCCTTATCCTGATACACCCAAGAGTAAGAAAGTTCCCAATCATGGTTGCGGCGTGGCTTGGGGGTAACACGCTTGCCAGCCCGTGTGCCTGGGGCCCAGAGCACCACGCCAGCAGGGAGGAGGGTAATGACAGAAGCTGATACAAATGTGTGTATGAAAAAGACATGTTCCTTTACAAAAAAAATACAGTAACTGAAGATGAAGCTCACCCTCTCCAAGAGACTCATTTCTTGGAACTCTGGGCTGGTGTTGGACAGCCGCTGCAAAGTGTGGGTCAAATCGTAGGTTGTAGAGAAGTAAAATCCATCCACATTCAGGACGTTGTTTAGCATCGCTAGGAACGTTTTATTGTCTTGCAACTGTAAACAAGGTGGAGGTCAGTATTCTCATGGCTGAACTCTGCTAGCACGAAAAGAGAAAAACTAGAAACCTAAGTACAGCCCCATTAATACCACAGGCCAGCAAAGGGGACGCTGGCTGTGTCCCCAGACCACTGGCAGTGCCTGAGCCACACAGAACCCACCCCACAGATGAACTAAGGCTTCACCTGAGAGCCTGAGCAGAATCCCTCACCATTCTTACTCTACAGACCCTGAGAGGTAACCCAAAAAAACATCAGCACTTCCAGTTGTAACCTGGGCACTGCACCTTCACAACAGCCCTGCCTGGTGAGGACCATGGTCTTCATCTGGGAAATTAAACACAATGCATGAGGGCCTCAGTGACACAGAGAGCAAACCACAGCAGACGGACATTGTAGCCGTCTGCAAGCAACTGTACTGGTTTGGGCTGGAAAGAAAAACAGAATTTCTTTTTCTTTCTTCCTTTTTCTTTTTTGGTATTGGGTAGCGAACTTGGACCTTCCGCTTGCCAGGTGGGCAGTGAAACCACTGAGCTAAATCCCTGGCTCCAGAATTTTTCTTTAAAATAAAGGTTAAAAAAAAAATTCCAGTAAAAGCAGTATTTACCTTTATTTTTGGAAAACATTCTTAACTGCCTTTCCCACTGAATGACAAGACTGATATTGGTTTTTACCCATGTTTTAAAAGTAACCGTCACTGTTTGATGATTACCAAATGATTAGCATGTCACAAACCTAATTCGGGTTCAGACATCTGTAATATTTTCACCAAAGGCAAACGCAAGGCACGCACAGTGGGCACTGCTCAGGTCACTCGTGTCCTGACGACAAAGTAGAGCGATCCCAGCGGCCAGGCACATACCCCTGGGTATTAAATGAGCACAGCCACCTTGGCTTCTGTGAAACAACGAGCCGCGTGGAGAATCACTACACTGGCACACACTGCTTGATGCACACAGAGCAGGACAAAAAGTTCTAACACAGGAAAAGTACCTGTACCATTAAGGGGCACCCACCACAACTCTACTCTTTTAAACGTATACCACAGATAAAGCACATTTTGGAAAAATAAATTTTCTTTTAGAAATAAACATCCTTGCAATCTTGGATATAAAAATACAGCTTTGAAATTTTAGGAAGCAAACACTAGAAGTAAAATTACTCTGGAAGAAAACAATGCTCAACAGACATCTGTAGTCCACAGCAATAGCACCCCGACCGGGCCTGATGGCGGCAATCGATGTCTGTAAACACAGTGCCGAGTTAAAAATGCTGCATTCTGAAAACTAGACCAGGACAAGGCCACTCGTGTGTGCAAGTCTTCCAGGCGACAGGAGAAACAGGTGCCGCTGCGCTGAGCGAGGCACCCCTGTCACGGTGGGGGGTGCACAGCACCAGCGCAGCGCCACTGAGCCTCAGCCATCATGAGGCGCCTTCATAATTCACCCCTGGCCGGAGATTTAGCTCAGTGGTACCGCTGCCTGCCTCACAAGCACAAGATCCTGAGTTTGATCCCCGGTACCATAACATAATTCACCACAGAAGTCAGAACTGTCTGTGGCTTTAAGTAGTTTTTGTTGTTTTTTTGGTCAAAATATTAAAAACTCTCTCAAGTTGTAACTGCACAGAGAAATGAAAAAAGAGTAAAACTAATTTTCTCAGTACACTATAATTCAAAGCATTAGAAACATGAGAATTTAAAATATTTTCTTTGTTAAGAAAAAGATTTGGACAGAGCTTGCCCTCCTCTGTCACACCACTCCTGTGTGGAGCATCTGCTCCACCCCGCTGGCCCGTCGGCCACCGCCCAGGCTGAGCTAGCTTCTGGCCCTTCATCCTCTGCACCTCAACGTCAAGGCCTTTGTGGAGGACCCTCGGGTCAGGACCGGCCTGACATACCAACAACTTGGTTTAGTTTTAACTTGTGACCAAGGTCTTGAGTCACGACCCGCACGCTGGCCGTGTGTGCTCCCCGATGGTCTCGGATACAGATCTACCCCTTACAGAGCTCTGGAAGGAATGTGACTGCATCCTTTCCTGTGGGGTTCACCGAGAAAGCCTGGGCCAGGGTCTCTCCAAGGACCCTGAGCTCTGCCCGTACACCGGAGAGAGACTCGGAAGGCCGTGCAGAGGAGCCTGAGCCTCAACCGGTCAACCTGAGTTACAACCAGCCCTGGGGAACAAACTAAGTTCGTAAGTCAGGGGTCCACTGTACCATGAAGTCCATGGTACCAGCCACTCTGCCACTGCTGCTCACTACATTCCCTTCACGACAGCTGGCTACGCCCCTTCTCTCCCGTAGTGATAGCGCTAGCAACTCCTTTGCTCCGTGTATGTTCAATCTCAGCCTCACTTCCAAAGGCGGCATCTCTTTTCATTTTTGCTAGGTTAATTCTTCAGTCAACAAACTTTGGTAAATAAAATTTAAACTGTGCTATTGGGGATCTGATATTAACGGAATCAAGTGATATGCAGAAGAGTCAGGTAAAAGAGAGGCCCATCTAAAACATACTCTGCACACATATACACGCACTCACACATGGTAAGAGTGAAGAAAACTTTTTTCAGGGAGAAGAATGAAGTAGAACTTTAAAAGATATCTAGCATTTTATTTCTTTATAGAGAATATGAAATTAAATCTGGATGATAGGCAGGTGTGGTGGCACACGCCTGTCATCCCAGCACTCGGGAGGCTGAGGCAGAGGAGGATTGCTGTGCGTGAGACCAGCCTGGGCTACACAGTGAGTTCTAGGTCAGTCTCAACTGCATAGTGAGACCCTACCTCAAAAAAAAAATCTGGACATTGAGTAAATATGTATTTCACTCTTTTCTCTCCATAATAAATTTCATAATTTTAGAATTTATTCTTTAAAAGAATCCCAAAACCAGCCAGATGTGGTGGTGCATACCTGTCATCCCAGCACTTAGAGGGCAGAGGAAGGAGGATCACCACGAGTTCAAGGCTAGCCTGGGCAAGCTACACAGTGAGTTCAGGGCCAGCCTGAACTATAAAGCGAGACCCTGTCTCAACAAACAAAACAAAACAAAATCCTAAAACCAATAAAACAGACGGGCAATTTTAAAGGTCTTCTTTATGCCTGGGTAGAAAGTCTGGTAGAATGACCTTACTTAATAATGAGCCTTAACAGAAATCCACCAAGCTTTGTACTCTGCAACCCCTGCCCAGTGGTGCATCTTTGGCTTTTGCAATAAATAACACTGTTCAGTTCTTACCTGAATATCAGTTAAGTGCAACATGGTCTTCTTATAAGAAAGAATATCAAAATCTGCTGCTTTCCAGATTACATGATTGAAAAATTCTCCTACTTTCGTCTTTTTGGTAATGACAATAAGATAATTACCTGGAAAAAGCACAGTGAAACATACATAGATATAAAAACTGGTAGAGCACAGGCTTAGGATCAAGCCCCAGCACCACCACCAAAATGAAAACCTAGAAATCAGAAAAAGTATCACCTTGTAGTACTCAGATAAAAGGCCCATTTTTAACAGCAATCTTACAGTTTATGAACACAAAGACCAGTAAACTATTTAAAAATATTCCTATGAATGATCAAAATTTTTTTTCTCAAAAAGAAAAACAAAGCCTTTTGGTAACCAAAGGAGGAGTGAGGCATCTCAGCTGGTAGGAAGTAGAGAGAAAATACTTCTGCCCCACCGCCACAGGCTTTGCCACTCCAACATTCCTGCGCCCCTGTAATGTGGAAAACTATGCTGGGCCACTTCCGCTCATCGGATGCTGCAGTCTTAAGAAGTGAGTGGTGTCTTAAAATTTTTATTTATCCAGGTACGACGGCACACACTTGCCATCACAGCATTCGGGGGGCTGAAGCAGGGTGGCAAGTTGGAGCCCAGCCTGGGCAACTTAGTGAGACCTTAAGATAAAACACAAAAATATGGGTGGGACATAGCTCAGGGAGAAGACACTGGGTTTAGTACTGAAAAAAAATTATTTAAATGCTCTTAGAATTTACAGAAAAATTCTACCTCGTTAGGAATTTCAGCTCTAGTGAAATACAAACATGAAAACAGAATTTCAGGCTGATAAATTTAACCACTTGGGGAGTTTTACTTTTTTGAAACTATAACAACAGGCCGGGCATGGCAGCGCACGCCTATAATCCTAGCACTCAGAGGAGGCTGAGGCAGGAGGATCACTGTGAGTTCAAGACCAGTCTGGGCTACAGAGTGAGTTCCAGGTTAGTCTCAACTACATAGTGAGACCCTGTCTCAAAA